AGAGATCTTATTAATAACGTTACTGAGTGTCTCGGCTTGGTGGGGTAATGAGTACAGTATTTGATTACAGTAACAAGTGACATCTATGTGTGTTTAATGATTCCCGAATGAATGTGAAATTTATATTGTTTTCTGCCTGCTCGCATGCCTCAGTCTACACTCTCTCTCTCTCTCTCTAAAAGAACAGCAATAAGAAATATTTGTAATGAGGGAAGAATCACCCTCAGAAGTCATTACTGTGATGTAGTCGAGCCCACTGAGTCCGAGACCATTCGTAATTTTTGCTGTCATGGATCACCTGAAGATTAGCCCCCCCCCCTCCCAGGTAGCGTTGGAGTGGTTAAACATCATTTGGGTTAAAGCTGGGGGGACGAAGCTTCACGTGAACAATTTCGGGGCTAATGTGCATATCTATTATATCATTTCCATGTATTTTATTTTTCACCTCATCATTTATCCCTCATGGATAAATACACGATCAATTTGGGCACTAGAGGCAGGTACAGTTATAATGGTCAGTGCCAGATTCACTTGGGTCATCTCGCCTAAGAAAATTGACCACGACCCAAGAAATCACTCCTTATGGTCATCTTTTCACACACACACACACAGGTGGTGTAGGTGATATATCTCTCCCTACCTGAACCTAAACTTAGCCAATTGACACTTTCATCCCAACACACCTGAGAATTGATAAGTTAATTTATGGCGTCCTCGAAAGATCTCGAGAAAAAAATCCGAGACCATGTCCGAGACAAAGACCTAAGCACTCCAGAGCGAGACATGAGAAAAGGGTGTCGAGGCCTACATTACTGTCTCATTGGTGACTTGTGCCTCGCTTCACTCGGTGCTACAGACCAATACCCTGGAGTAAAATCCTTTTACTCGGAAACCATGAATGAGTGCGTGTTGTCACGGGACAGCAGAGAGATGGTGGCCATAAGCGATATGTCACACACAGTGTAACTCATGGCACCACCTCACACAACCCGCCAATCACCGCCAAATATTCCACAGACACGCACACGCCCGTGCCCAACGTGGCGCTTTTAATAATATTTCAATCTCTTAAGGTTTAGTGGATAACTACGACAGCAAAAAAAAAAAAAAAACGTGGCGCGCAAAGAGGTGTGGACGGAGGAAGTCATTCACAGATTCAATATTTGTTTTTGTTTACCTTGCGTCGTGTAGCTGGCAGCGGGGTAGCGGGCCAGGAGTCTGAGGGTTTATAAGTGACACTGAGGCAGATCACGTAGAGGAGTTGATCTGTGAGACCCAGAGAGTGTGTGGTGATAGAGTGGCAGGCGGAACCAGGCATTTGTGGCGTTATCTGACGCCTGGGAATTATGGGAGGACGCCCCTCGCTACTTCTTGGGTTCTTACGCTCATGATCATAAACTGCTACACGTCAACCCCCCATTTCCCACACACAATACTTGTGGTCGTCTCCTTTACTCAGTGAGGCTCGCCAGACCATACACCCTCGCTCCAGTCTTCCTGGGGTACTGGCCAGGTGGCAGTATTTATATTTACAGGTTAAAGTTAAGGACGTGAAAAAATAAATATGTCCGTATTGATCCACCATCAAGAGCTGGTACAGTACAGGGGTGGAGAGGTCTTGCCCAGGTAAAAATCCCATTGAACAAAAAGTACCTGTGGGCAATTTCCCACTCTCAATGAATAGTTTTCCATTGGACAAGGCCGCCACCCCAACTGCAACTACGACCACCTCAACCACAACCCCTCTCTGTAACCACCCCCAGCCACAACCATCCAACTACAACCACCACCACCCCAACCACCACACTAATTGTCATTACATCACTGGCCGCCTTGTACTGTACGGATCATTCCCAGCAGCAGTACATTTAGGAGTCATCAAGTTTCTCCGTTCGGTCATCAATATCAAGATCCTTCCCTTCCCTCCTATATTAGCTGCATCAGTTAGCTCTATGAATACTAATTTTGACTGACTGACTCACTCACCAATTTGATGAGAGAATATTTTGCTCGCCTCACCTTGACGTAGACCGTAAACATTTTTTCATTTTAGTAATGGTTGGAAATATTTACTTTTTTACTGTTTTTGAAAAATTTAAAATAGGCTACATAAATTTCCTTGTGGATATTTTTCTCGCTCTCTCTCTCTCTCTCTCTCTCTCTCTCTCATCATCATCATCATCATCATCATCATCATCATCATCATCATCATCCCAGCCAAAAATGTTAGTCTCCAGGATTCACTTCTGCTACGCCAAAACAGACGCAGCAAAAACCAGAGTCGAAAACCATCTGCACCTCCCGTCCTCGCGTCGCCTCCCCCACACAAGCCAGCGTCTGTCACCACCAACCCGCGCCCAGCACACGCCTGCATGATGTGTTCCCAGTGTGTGTTAAGACATAACTCGAGCTCCACCATCAAGATAACAGATGAGGATTCGCGATAATCTGTCATGTTTGATGATATAAACAGTCCAGGGGGTGTACGGCAGAGCCAGAAGTAGAGCTTTAGGTACGGTTCATGACCAAGCGGTATGTCCCGACGGTTAATTTCTTCTGTTTTTCGCTCAATGTAATTTAATGATGTAGATTTTAGTTTTTTGGCTTTATCATCCCATTTTTCATCATGCTGTGTGTTAATATGGTCAGCTTAGTGTTTTATGGAGACGTACGATATCCTCTTCACAGGGTGGAAAAAAGTGGAAACTGCAAAATCGCTGCCGTATGTTAGTTCCTGCAGCTTGGTCGACATTATTAAACGTAACATGGGAAAATACAGAGTAACGAGGGAGTCAAGTGTAGTAGATGATTTGTTGAGTTATGTTGTCACACGCTACCAGTGTTGTAGACTTACGACACACACCCGAGGCTAATGATGTTTTTCCCCAAGCATGTTGATGACCGTGACAACACCGTGTACAGTAGCGTACTATAATCCAGTTAAACATCACTCTTTGTATGTCTGGCTTCTCTTGTCAGTGTGCTCGTCGGTGAAATTACTAGTATTTCCTCAACCTTTGTCCATCCGTCGTAAGGCTTGGCATGTTAGGTAACTGTCCCTCCCAGATTATGGGTCTAAGATGGTGACAAGAGGAGATTCCATTTTAAGACATAAGAATTAAGTTTTAAACCCACCATGAACCCAGCTACAGGTTTTACGAGGGAATAGGAAGGGGGGGTACGAGCGCTATAGTTACTTTACTGCAATCTCAGAAACAGATTTTCAAGTTGTGAGAGAGGAAGGCACACGTTATAGGTAATTTGACCTTCGTGATATGAGACTGACTGAGGATGCTCAATACAACTGTACTGCAACGCTGATCTCCACAAAACAGCACATAGGGTAGGTTTGGATTAGGTCAGTTTTGGTTAGTTTTATCTAAATCGACAAGCTTGGTATAAAAAAAATTGGGGTTTTGGTTTGGCCAGGATAGGTTAGGTTTTAGTTAGGGCCAGTCAGGTTAGCTTAAGTTCGGACTGGCTTGATGAGGAAAGGTTAGGTTAGTCTTGGTCAGGTTTAAGTTAGGTCAGATTTAGTTACGTAAGGTTTGGTTAGGTTAGGTTAAGTTAGGTCAGATTTAGATACGTAAGGTTTGGTTAGATTAGGTCAGATTTGGTTAGGTTAAGTTAGTTCGAGCAGGCTTGGTTAGGAGAGATTAGGCGAGAAGGTAGATTTAGTCAGCTTTGGTTCAGTGTATTTACGAGTGTGATCAATTTAATACACATCGAACCTGCTACTTGTGGTCTGTGTGTTTGTGCTTAGTAAAAGCGTTAATGTGTACACTTATGTAACTGGTGGACGAGTTGACCTTGATGATAGACTCTGTTTGAAGGTAATTGCTAACAGGGGAGACTGATTATGTCCTCTCTCTCTCTCAATGCTGGGAGTAAAGATTTTTTTGCCTTGTGGTTTTTCATATCATTCTGAACTCAGGTATGCGTGGTCATGATGCAGTCTGTCTTAGTATTTTGTCAAGTGTGGTGTTTGAGGACTGCTGTGTGGAGACGTCCGTACACGCTGCGGACACAGTGTGGGAATTATTAAAAAAACAAACAAAAAAAAACACACAATTGTTGCGTGTACAGTAGACGCCAGTCTCGGCAGCATTGTTAGACATGAAAAACTGAAAGGTAGTAGTTGATAACTTGTTGAGCCATGATTTCACGCTACCAGTGTTGTATGCTGACGCACCAGAAGAAGTATGTGAGTGACTGCAGCAACACCGTGTACAGCAACAACTAGAAAACAGAAACACTAGCTGCTGTACGGCCCACTCGTGTCTGCCCTCAGATTACCGTAAAAAAATAAAATGTTAATGCTGCCAGTAATGTGTGCGTGAGAGAGGGATAATCAGCCTTCTCTTCTGGTAGTTATTTTGCAATTAACCACTTAGCAAGGCTACAAGGATAAAGATTTACACATCATCGCCTATTACCAAGCACTAAAACCTGCAGCACAACTAGAGGTCGATATGATATGTAATGACATTTTGGACCCCTTCATATGTTGACCACGACACACTGCCCGTATGTTGGCCACGACACACTGCCCGTAAATTGGCCACGACCAAGGTTATTGACCTTGGCCACGACACACTGCCCGTATATGTTGGCCACAACACACTGCCCATATTTTGGCCACGACACACTGCCCATATTTTGGCCACGACACACTGCTCGTATATGTTGGCCATGACACACTGCCCGTGTATGTTGGTCACGACACACTGCCCCAGAAACAAACGTAACATTTTGGTTCTATAAGTTCCGAAAGCCTAGTACGTCTCTGACCTACAAGTTTGAGAGTAGCATTGACCGCCACACTTCAACACTCAAATTAATCGAAATTATCCACGGGTGATAATTGTCGCCATTAAAATATCGAATTCTGAAAAAAAGAAGTTAATATGAACGAAAATGAAACATTCCTGAGTCTTACATAAACCAACCAACTGTTCCGAAGACTTCAATTGCTGGAATGTTTTACTCCTATACAACAGAAGCTCCAGTGTTTACTCCCATACAGCAAGCTCCAGTGTTTACTCCTATACAACAGAAGCTCCAGTTTTACTCATGTACAACAGAAGCTCCAGTGTTTACTCCTATACAACAGAAGCTCCAGTTTTACTCCTATACAACAGAAGCTCCAGTTTTACTCATGTACAACAGAAGCTCCAGTGTTTGCTCCTATACAACAGAAGCTCCAGTGTTTACTCCTATACAACAGAAGCTCCAGTGTTTGCTCCTATACAACAGAAGCTCCAGTGTTTACTCCTATACAACAGAAGCTCCAGTTTTACTCATGTACAACAGAAGCTCCAGTGTTTACGCCCATACAGCAAGCTCCAGTGTTTACTCCTATACAACAGAAGCTCCAGTGTTTACGCCCATACAGCAAGCTCCAGTGTTTACTCCCTGTGCAACAAAGCTCCAGTGTTTTGCTCCTATACAACAGAAGCTCTTGTGTGTTTACTCTATACAACAAGCTCCATTGTTTACCTTCCAGTGTTTACTCCTATACAACAGAAGCTCCAGTGTTTGCTCCTATACAACAAAAGCTCTTGTGTTTACTCCTATACAGTAAAGCTCCAGTGTTTACTCTATACAACAAGCTCCAGTTTTACTCATGTACAACAGAAGCTCCAGTGTTTTACGCCCATACAGCAAGCTCAGTGTTTGCTCCTATACAACAGAAGCTCTTGTGTTTACTCCTATACAACAAAGCCCATTGTTTACTCCTATACAACAAGCTCCAGTGTTTACTCCTATACAACAGCTCCAGTGTTTGCTCCTATACAACAAGCTCCAGTGTCGTCCATACAACAGAAGCTCCAGTGTTTACTCCATACAACAGAAGCTCCAGTGTTTACTCCTATACAACAAAGCTCCATTGTTTACTCCTATACAACAAAGCTCCAGTGTTTACTCCCTATACAACAAGCTCAGTGTTTTACTCTATACAACAAGCTCCAGTGTTTACTCCATACTCAGAAGCTCCAGTTTACTCTATACAACAGCTCCAGTGTTTACTCCTATACAACAAAGCTCCAGTTTTACTCTGTACAACAAGCTCAGTTTTACTCATAATACTGTGTTTAAAGCTCCAGTGTCCAGTTTTACTCATACAACAGAAGCTCCAGTGTTTGCTCCATATACAAAGAAGCTCCAGTTTTACTCATGTACAACAGAAGCTCCAGTGTTTATCCTATACAACAAGCTCAGTTTTACTCCTATACAACAACAAGCTCCAGTTTTATATAACAAAACCATGTACTCGCATGTACAACAAGCTCAGTGTTTACTCCTATACAACAGAAGCTCCAGTTTTTGTCTATACAACAAGCTCAGTTTTACTCATGTACAACAGCTCAATGTTTACTCCTGCTCCTATACAACAAGCTCAGTTTTACTCTATACAACAGCTCCAGTGTTTTGCTCCTACTTTCGCTTAAAATCCCAGTTTTACTCCTATACAACAAGCTCAGTTTACTCTATACAACAAGCTCCAGTTTACTCTATACAACAGAAGCTCCAGTTTTACTCATGTACAGCTCAACTCCAGTCAGTTTTTACTCATGACACAACAGCTCCAGTGTTTTACTCTATACAACAAGAGGCTCCTATACAACAAAGCTCTTGTGTTTACTCCTGACAGAAGCTCCAGTGTTTACTCCTATACAACAAGCTCCAGTGTTTGCTCCTATACAACAGAAGCTCTTGTGTTTACTCCTATACAACAGAAGCTCAGTGTTTGCTCCTATACAACAGCAAGCTCCAGTGTTTGCTCCTATGTTTACAACAAGCTCCAGTTTTACTCATAGCACAACAAAGCTCCAGTGTTTACGCCCATACAGCAAGCTCAGTGTTTACTCCTATACAACAGAAGCTCCAGTGTTTGCTCCTATACAACAGAAGCTCAGTGTTTGTCTATACAGCAGCTCCAGTGTTTTACTCTCAACAAGCTATACTCCTATACAACAGAAGCTCCAGTTTTGCCTCTACAACAACTCCAGTTTTACTCAGTGTCCAGTGTTTACTCTATACAACAGAAGCTCAGTGTTTGCTCCTATACTCTGCAGAAGCTCAGTGTTTACTCCTATACAACAAGCTCCAGTGTTTGTCAGTATACAACAAGCTCTTGTGTTTATCTATACAACAAAGCTCCAGTGTTTACTCCTATACAACAGGCTCCAAGCTCCAGTTTTGCTCATGTACAACAAGCTCCAGTGTTTGCTCCTATACAACAAGAAGCTCCAGTGTTTGCTCCTATACAACAAGCTCCAGTTTTACTCTATACAACAAGCTCAGTGTTTACTCCCTATACAACAAGCTCCAGTTTTACTCTGTTACAACAAGCTCCAGTGTTTGCTCTATACAACAAGCTCCAGTGTTTGCTCTATACAACAGAAGCTCAGTTTTACTCTATACAACAAGCTCCAGTGTTTGCTCCTATACAACAGGGTTCCAGTTTTACTCATGTGTTTGCAACCAGAAGCTCCAGTGTTTGCTCCTGTAACCCAAAGCTCAGTGTTTGCTCCTATACAACAAGCTCTTGTGTTTACTCCTATACAACAAAGAAGCTCAAGTGTTTACTCTATACAACAAAGCTCAGTTTACTCTCTAACAAGCTCCAGTTTTACTCATGTACAACAAAGCTCCAGTGTTTGCTCTATACAACAAAGCTCCAGTGTTTACTCCTATACAACAAAGCTCCAGTGTTTGCTCCTATAACAGAAGCTCTTGTGTTTACCCTCTTCTAACAAGCAACTCTGCTCCAGCTCCAGTTTTACTCATATACAACAAGCTCCAGTTTTACTCATACAACAAGCTCGGTCTACAACAGAAGCTCAAGTTTACTCTCACAACAAGCTCCAGTGTTTACTCTATACAACAGCTCAGTGTTTGGCTCCTATACAACAAGCTCCAGTGTTTACTCCTATACAACAAAGCTCCAGTGTTTGCTCATGTACAACAGCTCAGTGTTTGCTCACTCAACAGAGACTATACAACAAGCTCCAGTCCAGTTTTTTCTCCCCCTTTAACAAAGCTCATGTTCTCCCACATGCAACAAGAAGCTCCAGTGTTTACTCCTCCATCATTTTGCTCCCCTTGTAGCAAACTCCCTTAGCCAGTGTTTACTCCTCCATACAGCAAGCTCCAGTTTTACTCCTATACAACAGCAAGTGTTTTACTCCAGTGTTTTCTCCCATACAACAGCAGCTCCAGTGTTTACTCCCCATAGCAGCTTCTGCTCCCTTGTAGTTTTACTCCCTAACATACAACAGCAGCTCATTGTTTACTCCCTATAGGCTCACATTTTAACACAAAGCTCCAGTTTTACTCATATACAACAGCTCCAATGTTTACTCCCATACAACAAGCTCGTTTTCCCAACAGCAAGCTCCATTGTTTACTCCCATACAACGGAGTGTTTACTCCCTATACAACAGAAGCTCTTGTGTTTACTTTTATACAGCAAAGCTCCAGTGTTTACTCCTATATATCCAAGCTCCAGTGTTTACTCTCCCTCTAAAATTAATTTATACCATGAATAACAGTGTTTACAACTCCAGTGTTTACTCCGATGCTCCAGTGTTTACTCCTATACAACAGAAGCTCCAGTGTTTTCCCATACAGCAAGCTCCAGTTTTACTCCCATACAACAAGCTCCAGTGTTTTCTCCCATACAACAAGCTCCATTGTTTACTCTCCCCATATTTGCTCGGTTTTACTCCCCTTAACCGGCTCCAGTGTTGCTCCCATACAACAGAAGCGTTTTGCTCCTATACAACAAAGCTCAATGTTTACTCCCATACAGCAAGCTCCAGTTTTACTCCCCATACAACAGAAGCTCCATTGTTTACTCCCATACATACAACAAAGCTCCAGTGTTTACTCCCTATACAACAAAGCTCAAGTGTTTACTCCTGCAACAGAAGCTCCAGTGTTCCCCATACAGCAAGCTCAGTTTTACTCCCATACAACAGAAGCTCCATTGTTTCTCCCCATACAACAGCTCAGTTTTACTCCTATACAACAAAGCTCCAATGTTTACTCCCATACAGCAAGCTCCAGTTTTTACTCTATACAACAGAGCTCCATTTTTACCCCATACAACAGCTCCATTGCTCCTTGTTTACTTTTATACAGCAGCTCCAGTGTTTACTCCTATATAGAAGCTCCAGTGTTTTACTCATACAGCAAGCTCAGTGTTTACTCCTACAACAAAGCTCAGTATCCTTGATGCTCCAGTGTTTTGCTCCTATAATACAAGCTCCAGTGTTTACTCCCTTAATAGGCTCAAGTCTGTCAGTTTTACTCCCATACAACAAAGCTCCAGTGTTTTCTCCTATACAACAAAGCTCCAGTGTTTACTCCTTACAGCAAGCTCCTATACAACCATCAGTGTTTATATACAACATCTAGTGTTTACTCTATACAACAAGCTCAGTGTTTATACAAAATTTTACTCTACCAGTGTTTGCTCCCCAACCATTCAGCAAGCTCAGTGTTTACATAATAGCTCAGTGTTTACTCCTATAACCGTCAGTGTTTACTCTAACAACAAGCTCAATGCTCCATTGTTTACTCCCCATACAACAGAAGCTCCAGCTTTACCCCAGGCCAACAGAAGCTCCAATGTTTACTCCCATACAGCAAAAGCCCAGTTTTACCCCATACAACAGAAGCCCATTGTTTACCCCCAGCAAATGGAAGCTCCAGTGTTTACTCCTATACAACAGAAGCTCCAGTGTTTACTCCCATACAACAGAAGCTCCAGTGTTTACTTCCCATACAGCAAGCTCCAGTTTTACTCCCATACAACAGAAGTCTATTGTTTACTCCCATACAACAGAAGTCTAGTAGTTTTACTCCTATACAACAGAAGCTCCAATGTTTACTCCCATACAGCAAGCTCCAGTTTTATTCCATACAACAGAAGCTCCATTGTTTATCCCCATACAACGGAAGCTCTTGTGTTTACTTTTATACAGCAGAAGCCCAGTGTTTACTCCTATATAACAGAAGCTCCAGTGTTTACTCCCATACAGCAAGCTCCAGTGTTTACTCCTCTATACAACAGAAGCTCCAGTGTTTACTCCCATACAGCAAGCTCCAGTGTTTACTCCCTATACAACAGAAGCTCCAGTGTTTACTCCCATACAGCAAGCTCCAGTGTTCCTTATACAACAGAAGCTCCAGTGTTTACTCCCATACAGCAAGCTCCAGTGTTTGCTCCTATACAACAGAAGCTCCAGTGCTTACTCCTATACAACAGAAGCTCCAGTGTTTACTCCCATACAGCAAGCTCCAGTGTTTTCTCCCATACAACAGAAGCTCCAGTGTTTACTCCCATACAGCAAGCTCCAGTGTTTACTCCTATACAACAGAAGCTCCAGTGTTTACTCCTATACAACAGAAGCTCCAGTGTTTACTCCTATACAACAGAAGCTCCAGTGTTTACTACCATACAGCAAGCTCCAGTGTTTACTCCTATACAACAGAAGCTCCAATGTTTACTCCCATATAACAGAAGTTCCAGTGTTTACTACTATACAACAGAAACGCAGTAGATAATGATTAATTTCCAACATGTAAGACAGGTCCCGGTCACCTTCAGAAGAATTTGATTCCATGATGAACTAAACTACAACCTCAGGAACTTTGCCAATTATCACGTAAACTAAAACCAGAAACTCAGACAAGGTCGCTGCCATATGCCAGAGTCAGTATGAGCAGTAGTAGTCAGTTCCTGGTGTGAAATGAAACCTTCTTGTAGTCAATTCTCTTCCGACCACCACCAACAAACAAAAGAGAATTTGTAAGAAAAAGCCCAATTCTTTGTATCAGAACCCTCGCGAACTGGGGTTAATTACACGCGCCTCTTCTGAAAAACAAAATAATTCTCAGCAACAAAAACTATCTCATATGAAAAAGAAAATACATTAAGTTATTTTACACGGATATAATAAGTTTCCCTGAACTTGTATTATACCGTATATATATATATATATATAAAGAAAGCGAACAACCATTAGTGTGAATCAGTGAGGTCGTAGGCTGGTGAACCTCACCCTCACACTATTGACACGATGGGCGTGGTCCCTTATCACCCCCCCCTCCCCTCCCCAACGACCCTTCCTGCCCCTCCCCCAACCCTTTTCCCCGCTTAATTAACTAATTTACCTGAAACATTCACATGAAATTATTAATAAATGTATTCTTCACGTAAGCCAACGCCCTCAGCCTTTTGTACCGCCAGAATTTTTACCCTGAGTATAAGATGGTCTTTTTTCTCTCTTAAGAGCTAAGTTTTTAATACATGAATTATTAATTACAGTAATTTGATTGAACTAACTGGCCAAATTTATTATGCCCAATTTTCACTCCTTTTCCTAATAAGCAAACCTGTTAATGGATAAAAATAATGTTACCTGAAGAATCTCCGCCCCAGCTTATTTTACCTGAAGATTAACAGACCTAACCTACCTTAACCTAACCTAACCTCACCCCCCAAATAATGTTTGGGTGGTTATTCAATAGGTGAAATAAGCTGGGGTGGAGATTCTTAAGGTGATCCGAAGTAATTGTTTTCTGGAACCATAAATTATACGTGAAACAGCAATAAGACTAAGATATACGAATTATAGTATTTGAATCATTAACAAAAAATAAAACATTGCATTATTTCAAGTATAAAAAATAATTGACGTTCAGCAAATATAATATTCAGACATTAACAAGGAAAATACAAAACTACAAATTTGTCTGTAAAAAAGAGAAGCTGCGCCCTGAACTAGACTCAGGGGTCAACCACAAACTTAACCAAAGATCCAGACGTGCCAAAACACACGTCACAGCCACTTACTGTAGGTGTGAGGTGAAGGTGTGTTGCTCACCCTTGTTCATGTGTCTGGGAAGTTTCATGACTAGTTTAGTGAATTCGAACACACGGGTGGATAGACAAACGGAGGGACAGAGTGGCGGTGAGATAATATATGCGTCTCTCACACTCTTGGCGGGGATAAAACCTTCAGGATGTAAGAGTGTGGGAGAGTGCTGGCGTCAGGTAGGTTCAGGTGCCAGAGGAGTGCTTGGCGTGCCTGTGGTGGTGCGCTGTGTTTTGTTGTGATGTTTTATATACCGCAGAAGCCTCTCCTCTGTGTGTGTGTGTGTGTGTGTGTGTGGAATATCTTCCTCGCCACACAGAGACACGCACACATGACTGTCAGTCGCCAGCCTGTCACCTCAGGAAAGCATTAATTAATCAAAATGAGTAACCTGAGCGCTGTTTCGTGTTGACAGGGCCAACAAAAACTACCCCGGGCCAGCCATTTACCAAGTGTTAATTTTACTGCCCTACACGACCAGGGGGTAAGGGGTAAGGGAAGGGGTCTTGTAGGGTAGGAGTAAAGGATGGGGATAAGAGAAGGGGGTTGAGGGTAGAGGTAGAGGGTAGAGTGTAACATGACTCCGCAAGAGGGACAGAAATAACAGGAAAATATATGGAAGACACTAGATGAAATGAAGACATGTAATGAAAACGAAGCTCACCAGATGAGTTTATCACCCAAGACGACCATCATGTTCAGGGTTGGAGTAATTGTATTTGTAATTTAATTGAAATGTAATTAATTACAAGGAAATTGTAATTGAAAAAGTTATCAGTTAATTGTAACTAGAATTGTAATTTAAATGATAATCATGTAATTTAATTGTAATTGTGAATTCAGCCCCCCAAATAAATTTCCAAATCAACCACCATCATAACCATGGTCATTCCACTGATTCCCCCACGCGGGACGTCGCTGCAATCGTTTGGGAGTGTTAAAGGTTGAGGCAGTCAGGCGCTTTTGCATTTCTTCCCCGAGTTACTTGGTAAGTTTGGGTTATTTTACCTCATGTTTGCACTCCTCAATATGTACTATAAGCGTTGATTGATAGCACTTTGTAAATACACAATGGAAGTAATGGCTGTGGCAATATCAAACGAAAATTTTGGGGGATTTAAGTGAGGTAGATCATTTTGTCGGTATGTTGTCAACAGTCCCTCCAACCTCCCTTCTAGCCCAGTTTGAAATCCCCATCAAAGCTATTTCCTTCTATACGAGATTGTACTATTTTATGTAACATGTCTTAAGTATGGAAGTTGTGGAGGGGCAGAAGAAGGTAACCATATCTGCCATTGGACCAGTGATTCAGGGACTTAAACATTCACTGGAGCATCTACTTAAATCTGGGTCTTCCAGTAACAGCCAATTGCAGTACTGTGAACCTTTGGCTAGACCTGCTGGACACTGTGAAGAAAAGGTTGGACCCATACATAGAAATGAGGGATGTTCGAGCAGCGGTTTTTCTGGATCCTCTAGGTTTGAACTGGACTGGTTGTCGTCACAGGAGCAAGTGCTGATTGATATCAAGAAAATGTTGGAAGAATCGGAGGCAGTTCAGGAGGGGTTAACAGAGGAAGAAAATGACAAATATGATCTAGCAAAATGATTACCTGAATCAAAAAGACCCAGACTTTTCTCCTTTATCTTCAACTAGGCCACAAAATCAACGAGCATCGGAGGGAAGTATAGTGAGTCTGTTGTTGAAGCAATATGTGGAAGAAGAAACTATCCCATTTTCAAGAAATCCAATGCTCTACTGGAAAGATGTGCCCCAACTTTGCACCCACTGAAGAACCTGGCATGGGAGCTGATGGGGTGTACTGCAACATCTACTCCATCCGAGGGAGTTTTCAGCATTGTTGGACATATTTCACAGCCAACAGGGCCCAGCTTGGTGTCTCTTCTTCCCCGTCATTGTTAATGATAAAGTGTAATGGCGAATTACAGTATCTGAAAAACTCCCAGCCTTGTAAATATTATGTGTAACTTGCAGTATACATGGACTGCACTTGAATCTTGATAGCCTATGTCTGCTTTTTTCACAGTAGTTTTAAGTGAAACCTATTCATCAATACGGATTTTGCCCTTAAAACTAGACAGCGTTACAATTTTAATTTCAAAGGGTGAGCTAGCATGTAGAAACTTGTAATTATAATTGAACTTTTGATTTTCAAATTATAATTGTAATGTAATTGAACATTTGAATTGTAATTGTAATTGTAATTAAAAATTCAGACAAGTATTTGTAATTGTAATTGATTTAAAAGTGTGTAATTGCTCCAACCCTGATATGTTTCTACGTCCAATCTTACCAACAAAACATTTAATGACTTTGTAAATTACATATAACCAAATCACCGGTTTTAGAGGGAGTAAGGGGGAAGGAATTGAATCTATTACTGATTCATCAATGTGTTTAGAGTATAAAAGATGATATATGTACACCCGGGTAACTGAAGGATGTGGGGAGGCGGGGAAGGTTTGATGCGCTCCCTCTAGTACCTCTACAATGCACAACACTCCCTCGGGATTATGAGTACATTATTACACTCAAGAGGACAGTACCAGGTCACCCACCTCATCTTTCAATCCCCGGTCAAAGTTAGTCTCAGACAGTGGGAGCCTCAGCCAGCCTCTGTATAAGAACACTAATCATTTCCCTTTCCGATGACTCAGATTGACTAGTTGACACGTAAGACTCAAAATCACAACAAAACAACATCATGCACATCTACAGATTACAATCCTCCTACTTTCTATCACATGCATGATTTTTAGCGTCACTCCATCGGTTGTTGGTGATCAACTTCTGTAAACTGGTAACCTACAACCTGACTGGGGGACGGGCTAACGCACCTGAAACAACACCGCGCGGGACAGGCAAAACTGAGGTTAGCAGAATGTGGTATACTATACCACGTTCTATACCAGGTATAGTAATGCTGGTGTTTTGAGAATAACGAGGATGGAGGAACACTGATTTTTATAGGGTTGTTGGCGTGTGTTTCATCTCGTTCCATATAATACACAGGAGAGGGAGAACACCTGTAGTTGTTGTTGCAGGGTTTAAAGGTCATTGTGGGTAAGAAATTGAGGTTAAAGTGTTCTTTCCGAGGGTTCAAAGGAAGCTTGATACTGTTTATTGAGTCTCTCTCTCTCTCTCTCTCTCTCTCTCTCTCTCTCTCTCTCTCTCTCTCTCTCTATATATATATATATATATATATATATATATATATATATATATATATATATATATATATATATATATATGTGTGTGTGTGTGTGTATGTTAATCTTTACCACTTGTTTGTGTGTTTAAAGAAGACTTTTTATTAATGTATCTCTTGATCTAAAAAATTAGTATCAGGCCAAACTTGATCTCTTAAACTGTCTCTTAAAGAAGTGTAAATATTCAGATGGTTCAAAGGTTCAAAGGCTTAGTATTCAATGTTTTGTATCCGCACTAAAACCCCCGTCACACCTCTGGCATCCACTTAGAGAAGCCTGCGGGACATAAACTGTATTTACGTGTACCAAAAATATTTCATGATAGAAAACGGGATTTATAGGCATGATTGTAACTAAAATGAAACAAAAACGGGAATTCGAGGTGTACTGTACATGTAATTTGTAACTCTAAACTGAAGAAAATGTGAAGACAAGTGAAACAACTGTGTATGAACGTCCAGGCGACCTTGTAGTCTAGCTTGGGGTGATAAACAAACAAGTAAATTAAACTAACAACAGATTCTTTTCTTTTTCCACGCTATAAAAGTTAGTATTTAGGGAGCCGGTGTTTGTATCACTGCTGTTTAGTCTTTATATACCTGTAAGTAAGTCTTGTCTTAATAAACTTCTTACCCACAGTTTTAACGATGTATTGAGATTGTTATTATCAAAGTTAATGATACACTCCAAAGTCCAGATTCACAAAGGGTGGATATTCCTCGTAGTTCTAGATGTATGAATGTTCTTAACTGCATGTCTTAAGTTAAGGTACAGACATATCGTTAAGAAGCACCAGGGAAATTATACAGTGACTAAATAAACAATGTAAGTTCGCTTAATAGCAGTCAAAGTAGTGGATCTTTTAGGAAATTTTATTGTGTTTTTAGTATCTCGGTGGTATTTTTGGATGTTATTAATATACAGTAACTTATAACATCCATTTAATAACATTCTCACATCTTCAACTACGAGGAACATTCATTTTACGAGTGTTTGTGAATCTTGAACTCAGTTTTATGTTCTTGTGAAATTAATTTTCCAAAGGCTTGGCATCGTCATCCTCAGGAATAATTTCAAATTGGTGAGTCTCGTCCATCCTCTTTACCCGGACCACACCATTATTATAAATTTAAACTTGTTAGCTCCCACGGTAGAAGTAGTTCAGTCTCAAGATTGTAAATAACTTGTTTACAGTTGCTAGTTAAGTCTCTAATGATAACAAGTATCACTCTTCTTTTTAGTGTGTGCTTAAACCAGAATGGCGCATTTGTCTCTGTGGTTAAGTGTCAGTGCTGCATAAATACCGTGTGAGAGGACGAGGTATTTGAGAACTTCATCGTTTCATCAACTTCATGCATAATTTCCTCGAACTCTTCGCTTCGATATTTACTATTTTCAGGATTACTTAAGTTGTCAGTGAGAAAGCGATAACATCTTTTCGCTCACGAGCCACTTTCAGTTGTGGATTTTGCATCTGTGTGATGAAATCTTGTGGTCAACATTGTCACCGTCTTTAATGTAACCAAACACGACTGGGAGTGCAGAGCGAGAGAGACGATGGCTGATGGGAACTTTTAAGTAAGGACAACCCATAAATCCGGGTGTGACTACGTGTTTCACCAGTCTCTCGGGACCACGCACTCTTCCCTCCCTTCTCCTGGTGACTGGCTAGGCTCATGCTGGTGTTTTGTATGTGCATGGGGTCTTGTTGGTAGCTGTGTTACTCTTGACGGTGAAGTGACTGTTTTGTGGCCTCTTGTTAGTAACTGTTGTGTGACCTCTGCTAGTAACTGTTGTGTGACCTCTGCTAGTAACTGTTGTGTGACCTCTGCTAGTTACTATTGTATGGCTCCTTGTAGTTGCTGTGTTGCTCTTGGAGGTCCTTGACGTGGTTCTTCAACACCACAAAATTTAGTATGTCATTGTGTCAAGGGTGTGGGTGTACAGTAGACACGGTCATGAGTGAACCAAAATCTAGTGAGGTCGGTGGAGTTAGTCAGTCTCAGTTAAGTTCTTGATGGCGCTTCATATTCGACAGTGTTTTTATCTATGTGTTCTACAAGTGACTGTCAACTGACAATTTGTTTTTCTTTTCAGAGTGTTGTTTCCTGATTCAGCAAAGAACCTACTTTAGAATGTGCAGCTCTCAACGCCCAGGAAGAACTTTGTAGAACTCCTGAGAACTTCATAAAAGCAGCTGTTGTCACATGAAGAGAAGTGTTGGTGGGGCTACCAGTCCAGGAGCCTTTAGTTTATTGCGATCATTGTGCGTTGTGTAAAGAGTCGTGGATCACTCGTATGTGATAAAAAATTATAATGGCCTTTATAACATGTAGCCTTGTGGAAACGATGTGAATTAAAATGGCCTTTTTTTTTTTAAACTAAAGTGTGTGGCCCTAGGATGACATCAACCTAATATAATTTTGAAACAAGAATTATCGACTAGAAATCCATGGGATTTTCATGAGATTGGAACTGGATTAATAATGAAACATCAAGATATAATGTGGCAGGCACAAGAATCATGACATATTGTCAGTGAGCAGTCGGGGGAATGTTAAAATGTTGACCTCAATTCCACGAGAAATAAGTACCTCCGACCTGCCGGGCGAGAGGCCCGACGTTGCCTGGCACACAGTACACTCAGAGCCGGAAAACACCCAGCTCAGAGTGCTCGTGCCAGACTCCTTAGGAACACAGTGCAATAATGCAAGAAGAAAAAGAATGAGGAGAAGAAATTGTAAGACCTGTCAACTTCCCTGGTATTCATATCAAACTTTCAAGTTCCCTGTGTCTTATGGTGTGAGAGGGTCACTCGGCCTCCTCACTCACTCTGTATATATGTACATAATAGACTGTTGTTTCATTATGATGTCGTTGCTTCGGACTAAAACAGACCTGTCAGCACGAAGCCACCTCTCCTTGTGTGGACTAAAGTTATTATGGAGGTGGACTTTCCTGAAACTCAAGCAATATAGCAACGCTTATAGTGTGATATTATATCTAATTATTCTTTGTTCATTTCCTGTGGCGACTGAGGGCTTTTGCCCTAATGGCTGTGACTGTGATGACAGTACTTTGACTGTGAACTGTGAAAACGTGAGCTTAGAGGTGGTACCGATCCTCCTGAACCCTCGGGTACAGACGATACTTCTCACCCGAAACAAGATCCGAGCCCTTTCCCAGTCTCTTGTGTTTTACTCTGACCTGAGGAAACTGGATATATCTGACAATGAAATAGACTCGCTAGGAAGAAAGAACTTTAAGGAACAGGAGAATCTTACTGAGCTTCGGGTGAGTAATAACAGCATCAAGGTAGTGGAGGGCACCTCCCTGCAGGGGTTAGTGGGGGTCAAGATGCTCTATCTCGACAACAACCAAATTTCCCACATTGAGGACGGGGCCTTCAGGGGTCTGGTAAACCTCAGAGAGCTGAACTTATCAAAAAACAAGATCAAAAGTTTGAGTGAGAATAGTCTTAATGCACTGCCCAACTTACGGACACTAAACTTGAGTGGGAACAAGCTAGGCAGTGTGCCCAGTGTCGGGTTGAGTAATCTGACCTCTCTGCTCGAGCTGGATCTAAGTGACAATCAGATCTCGCAAGTGCCTGGTCGTGCCTTCGGCGGCGTCACCAGCCTGGCCCGCCTCGTCCTGGATAAGAACAATATCAGTGAAGTTAGTCCGACAGCGTTCTCCAGTCTGTGTGAATTGCGACGACTCTCCATCATCGACAACAGACTCCAGCAGGTCCCCTCCACGGCCCTCAGTGCTCTCCCAGAACTCCAAGAGTTGCAGCTCAGTGGGAACCTCCTCGAGTCACTCCCGGAGGACTGCTTCAAGGGATTAACTTCCTTGTTGTCAGTAACAGTGTCTCGGTGCCCGCGACTGAGCGCTGTCAGCAGTGAGGCGTTCCTCAGCACGGGTGCCTTAAAAACCTTGGTTCTGAGCCACAACCCTCGCCTGGCATCCCTCCCCCCTGCGGCCTTGGCCTCGCTGCTAAACCTCCGACATCTCGACCTCACAGCTTGCGGCCTCCTATACCTGACGCCCACGCAGGTAACTATGAGCTCCCTATATGTAAACAACTAAGACCGTGTAAACAAGAAACTCCATATGGCTAAAGACTTCCCTGAATACTATCTATAGTATCACATAACTCCATCCAGCTAGACTCAAACATCTATCAGGTCGACCCAAGTGTCAAGAAGGTAAACTCTAGCACCTCAGCGAATTCAGGGGACTGCGTAAACCGAGGATAATAATTAGAGTAAACGGGAGAGATGCGGCAGAGGTTAAATTGGGTAAAAAAATAAGATTGGGTTAATTTTGTTAAGGCCTAGAATGAAGGATTTTTCAACTAAGTTTGTAAGTTAGTTCTGTAATGGTAAGATGAAAGGCTTTCGTAAGTTACTATAGCTCTAAGTTAAATCTTAAAAAGGTCACATACTGTATAAGGAAGTAAGGGTTAGGGTGTTGATTTAAGGGCTTAAAAAGGTCACATACTGTATAAGGAAGTAAGGGTTAGGGTGTTGATTTAAGGGCTAGGATGTTGATTTAAGGGTTAGGTTGTTGATTTAAGGGCTAGGATGTTGATTTAAGGGCTAGGTTGTTGATTTAAGGGCTAGGTTGTTGATTTAAGGGTTAGGTTGTTGATTTAAGGGATAGGATGTAGATTTAAAGGCTGAGGTGTAAATTTAGGTCCAGGATGATTTTTAGGGCTGGGATAAATGGTTAGTTACTTGGACATAAGTTTAGGTAGAGAGATAATCGACTACTGACAGTGATACCATGGTGAGAAGGAAGCCTGTAATGGTAAATAATAATTATGATAATAAATAATGATAACAATGATAATAAATAATGATAATAATAATAATAATAATAATAATAATAAAAGGATTGGCTTAGATAATAATCCTAGTTACAGAGGTAAAATGATTGAGCAACTAGGTTACTGGGGAGACGAAGTCATCCAATGCTTGAAAGTTCAGTGGGATTTGAGTACCCATCTACCTAACTCTTCGTTATTCCTGTAGCTGCCGCTGCAGCAACTGAAGAGTCTCCGGGTGGCTGGGAATCCTCTCCACTGCAACTGCTCGCTGGTGTGGCTCTCGAAGCTTACCGCCAACCCAAACACCTCCGTCATCGTGGACCAACCAGCGTGTGCCAGTCCCCCAGCCCTTTATGGTCAGTCTCTCACGGCTAAAGTTCTTATTGTGGGTCTTCCCATTTTAACCTTTATTTGGGATTCCTCTTTTCTTCTTCTTGTCGTCCTTTCGCTCTCTGTTGTTCTGTAGGTCCTCCTGTTGTTATCCCTGCCTTCTTACTGTTGTTCCCGCCGTAGTCTTCCTTCTTGTCGTTGCTGCTTTTGTAGGCTGATCCCTCCTTACTTACTACTGTTGCTCCTGTTATACCAAAGTCCTTCCCTCTCACTGTTGCATTAGATCTTCTTGTTAACCCTAATTTAGTCCCTCTTCTTACTGTTACTCTTGTTAACTCTGATGTAGTCCCTGTTGTTGTAAAAGTTGTCCTAACTATCACAATGTTGTTGCCTCTACTGCTGGGTGTCACATAGTCTCAAGCTACACATCTCTGGATTCTTCGCCAGTTCCATCTGCTTGCTAGACTAAGTAAACACTGTCTGGAGATCATCTTCCTCAGTATCTGTCTCTGTAAACGAACAAGTTATCGAAATGAACACCTATTTTTCACTGATTTTTCAAATATTATTACGAAATTGATCAACTATTTTAATTTGCTGATTACTAATAACTGTTCTTCATTTTCTTGTTTTATATTAGTTCAGTGTATTGATGGTTTATGCGCTTGTGATTTCAGGGGTGTCTGTGCGGGAGCTAGGTGATGGAGGCGTGGGCTGCGACGGGCGTTTGGGCATGTGGACCATCGTCATATGCGTGGGCGTGGCCTTGCTGGGCCTGGCTATAATCGCCATCTTTCTGGCGTGTCGCTGGAGGAGGAAGAGGAAGAAGAGGAGAAAGAGGGACAGCCAGGACAAGACGATAGGCATGTGGGACGACATGTGGAGGCCAGGGAACCACATCTCCACCACCCACCTCCCACCCTTGCCTACCAATGGTGACTCCACCCTCTACCCTCTCACCACGCCCACCCGCCTGGGGCCGCCCCCACGCCTGCCCCCAGATCACCCTCTCCACCACCTCAATTACCACCACCACCATCAGGGGTGTCTTCAGCAGTGCCCATACGCCGCCCTCCACCCCGTCTACCACCCGCTCCTCCACCCTGATCACAACTCCACTCAAACCACCCTAGACACCCCCACGCTCTACGGGGACAGCAGGCAGGACTACACTCCCACTCACGCCTCCACCATCACCTCCCAAGAGCCGCCCCTCCCACTGTGTGATCCTCCTCACTGGTACGCTACCATCGGCGGTGGAGGCGATGACAGTGGCAGGGAGAGTCGACCTTTGACCCCCCTCGACCTCACTAACAGCCCTCGTAAAGTGCCCGTCACCTACGTCTGAGTAGCGGCATCACTCACCCATCTTCCTGACCCCTCCATGACCTCTCTTGGCTCTTTATGACCTCATGACCCCTCCTTACCCTTTATGACTTTTCCTAACCCTTCATGACCATTCTTCCATAACCTTTTCTCGTCCTTCACCCCCTCTTTTGGCCCTTCATAACCTCTCTTGACCCTTCCATAACCTTTTCTCGCCCTCCATCCCCTCTCTTGACTCGTACATAACCTTTTCTCGCCCTTCATCCCCTCTCTTGGCCCTTCATGACCTCTCTTGGCCATTCTATAACCTTTTTTCGCCCTTCATCACGTCTCTTGACCCTTTATGTTCATGACCTCTCTTGAACCTTCCATGACCAATCCTAACCCTTCCAAAACCTCTCCTGACCTACACAGTGGGCGTGACATTGGTGGTAGAGCAAGGAGTGAGTGAATTAACCAATGACTTAATGCTGTAACTCAGCATTGTCAGCTCAGCGCCCCACAGCGACTGAACTCACAAGGGTACAATAACTAGCTGGCTCCTGTGACATACCCGCCTTTCCACCAGGACAACCAAGACAAGTTCCTCTCCAGCGAACGTGTTTCACATTATTATTTTTATAGTGCAAAGCATCGACGTTTGTGTGAGTGGCAAAATGCAGCATAATGTACCGACTTTTGTTGGAGAGTGTCATAACTTGTAAACAAGAGACGTGTTAGAGACTGAACACAGGTGGGTGTGAGTCAGGGCCCGATGTAGTGTTTAAAACGGCCTCGACACAACTCCCGCTGTTTAAAGAAGTAATAGCTAGTGTCATAACACGACTGGAAAGTGAACACTATCTATGGAGAATTTAGAAAATGTTCCATTAAGAGACAGTATCAAAAACCTAACAGAACCATGCCAGATGGTGTAATCCGAGTCTTGAGGGACTGCCGCTGCTGCTTTCACCACCAAGATACACGGGAGGAATAACAGAGAAGTCTGGTCAGTCTTGGAGTGTGCGAGTTACAGAAAATACATATCACGCCGAGTGGAGAACATACTTCTCTTCGTAACATAATGCATAATGTCGCCTGGTTGTATTTGGTACTAATTGAAGCACAGAGCTTATTAATCACGACACGAACACGCTCACAGTTTAACATATAGGCTAATTATACTACAACACCTGAAATATGTATGATAATCCTTTATCCATTCCAGGATTTGCATATACTGAGAAGGTTCAGCACTTGACTGCAGTGTCAATCCCTATGGAACCTCTCCCTATTTACATACTGATTAACTGATGCTCATTTGTTTTTTCATATGGTTTGTCAGAAATAAAGAATTTTCACTACATTTTTCATTTCTTTACCCCCTAAGTTTTACTCATTGAAAGTTTTCAGGATCTTATTAAAAATTTGGACTTAAATTTTGTTAAATGTTTTTTTTCCACTAGTATATTTTTTTTACGGTGTATGCAACTCATTTTTTGCGATAATAAATATTTAACATTTTATTGGGGTTTGTTTGCAGGAACAGTGTCTGTTTTTGCTGTTGTATGAAAATGGGTGATAACCTACAATCATTGTTTAATTAAGCGAAACTGATGCCTTGCACAAAATACAAAGTGTGGGGATTGTGCCCAAAGAGAAGCAATGCCGAAAACGCCATGATTTACAAATAAAATGTATTGATGGAAGATTCAATTGGCGCTGTCAGAAAGGAGGGTGTGATGAAAAGGTCTCCATCAGAAAAAGCACATGGCTGAATGGAACGAATCTTGATCTGGCAAGAATTCTGAAATTTATCCACTGCTGGACAAAAGAATACACATCGCTAAAATTTTGCGAGAATGAATTGGGCATGAGCCACCCAACCGCAATTGACTTCTGCAGCTACATGCGAGAAGTAGTTTGTTATTGTTACCTACCTAACCTAACCATATTTTAGACAAGAACTAACCTAACTTTATCTAACCTAACCAAACCAGCTCATGTTAAGCATGATTGACCAGCACTTCTGATTCATAGACCTGTAGCTGTAAGTCACAAAAAAAAATCCGCAAATCATGAGTTTCACATTTAAAATCAGAACGAAAAACTATCTTTATTACAAGTTTCAAAAATTTGGAACGCAGTCCAAATTTTTAGTAAGACCCGGTTTTCATTACAGAATTTTCTTCTTTATAATTAAATGAATGATACACTGCTATACAGGCTCATCCAAGAAACATAAATCAACCAGTCCACATTCCTCCCGCCGTGTTATATTCTGGTTGAGGTGGTAGTGAGGATGGGGTGTTAACTGTTAATAAGCCTACGGGTGAAGGATACAGTTCTGTGTAATTTCGACACCTTTAACTTGTCAAAGTTTTAGTGAGTTTGCGTGTAATTGAGAACACGAAATGATCAACCAATACGAGAACAAGACATGAACACAACCACTATATTCTTATTTTAGACGACATTTTCCAAACTAAATCAAATACAGGTATAACCTAACACTCCTACTCCTAGGATAATTTCATTAGATTTAATTGGCTCGTATAGTCTGCTTCAAAGAAAACGTGTCAATCGTTGTGTTCTTGGTAATTTTCCATAACCGTCCACTCATAAGTTTTGACAGTTGACTCCGGCGCCTTGAGACTGTAAGACATCGTATGTGCTACTGGCGCTACCTCAGTACAACACGTCGGTCATGTCACATCCCAACGATACAGAAATCAGAAAAAAACGGTAAGAACCACTACACATCAGGCAGAAGGCCGCGGAGGAGATTTACACGAGACAGCCACGTCTGCCAGCGTCTGTCCCCAGCTTTTGTTGTGAAGCTTCACGAAAACAAACTTCATTTTACCCCCATTTCTTTGGTATTATTGCATAAGTCACCCAGTATTGAATGTTGAAAATTTAATGGTTGCAATCAATAGTTTAGACAATTCAAAGACACTTTTCTTCTGTGACGTTTCCTTCACAAATGACATGGCGGGGAGTCCAGGGAGGTCGGAAACTCCCGGTTAGGAAGTTAGGTCATTTGCGAGAGAAACTTCAAACAAATGTCTTAGATTTGTCTAAATTATTGATTTCAACTATAAAATTCTCAAAATTTAATACCGGGTGATAAGCATATTTACCATTTATTCATCGAGAGTCGATATTTTAGTTTTCCTTTTTATTCATTTGCTTATTTTATATGCGTGTCCATTAGTTAACTTACCTTTTCTGGTCAGTTTGTATTTTCGACCAACCACGGAAGTTTTATTAGAAAATTTGTTTTTCGTTAGTTCAGTCAATTTTAAGACTTTCTTCTACAACCCGCGAAAATTACCTAAAAATTACCTAGCCTAACCACCTCTGCCCCCCCAAGGATCCCTCGGTATTTATAATTTTCTTATAAATCTCTGATTTGTTGGTAGAGTTTCATGAATATACCTATATATGAAGCCTCTCTGGTGAGGATCCATATAATATTACATGTAATATTTTCCCAAATAAAAGGCCATTTAAACAGCGGATACTTTTCTTCAACTGCTGGTTTAGTCCATGTCATTAACATGCTGTATATATGTCATTTGCGAAGAAAGAGTCATACAAGAAATGTGTTAGAATTGTCTAAAATATCGGAAAAACACATTTTTTAATAAAAACTTCGTGGTTGGTCGAAATTACAAATTCACCCTTTTTCTTTGTATAAGTTTTATATTTCTGTAAATCGAGCGTTCCTCTTCCCCAACCCTTCATAAAATCGTAATATATTTTAAAACCCTAGAAAATATTAATGATAATTTTTATTGTATGGCATCAGCTAATTACAAGGCTGAAAACAGCTCAAAGGACTAGAGAATTTTTTTCCTATGTACTAAAAGCTATTACCTTAAGGATAGGTACAGGACCCAGTGTTGCCCAGTACCTCTGACCCATATAAAAACTATTTATCTACTTACGTATACAAATGTAGGTAGTACCTAGTTAGCTAATACTGCTGCCCACTACCAACATAGGAACCAGGTGACATTGCTACCTTACACAAGAGGTTGAGGGTCTTAACAAATGAATAACAAAATCGTACTTAATTTTTTCACTGTAACTAAAAGTAAGAAAACGCATCTACGTAGATATGATAAGAGTTCCGGTGAAATTATGAAGGCTCTTATTATATATTAAATCTACCAGCAAGGAGGAGTGGACTGCGGGCACCAATCAGTGTTGACACCACGTTTTAATTGCTGAGTAAATATTTGCAAACACACCAGCAGCCTCTACCAGACACATATATTGGCCAAAGGAATTTAACGGCGTCTACTGTTGCGATACTTTGTGCATGTCGCCGGTTGTTTAAGGCGGCGTCACACTGGCGTTACTTTTACCTTTATCCTCTTCACCACTGATCGGCTCGTTAGCCGCTTGGGCGATCGGTCACGTCTCTGTTACTTTTCTCTTTCTTTTATCCTCTGGACTTGCGGCTTCTTCATTCTTGAGCTTCCCTTTGAACATTTTCAACCGACTGACAGTCCCTAGCATATCTCGGGGACCAGATGGGGTGACAGTACTCCAGATGGGGAAGCACTTCACTCTTGAAGATCGTTACGAGGGACGGACCGTCTTTCTTTTTTTTTTACGGGTATTAGCCCTCCCGGGCACAGGTCACTGACCCACATCAGGGCCCGGGGGGGGGGGCGGAAATGTAATAATAATAATAATTCATAGTAAATAAAATTTATAATAAAAATAAAATAAAATATTAATGGTAATAATAATACCACTGTGATAATAATAAATAGAAAGAAATGCAAGAATGAAAAAAAAAATCAACAGTGAGAAACGCTATATGTATGTTGTTTTGTCATGTAATAGAAACAATTGAGACCCTACAATTGTGTGTAAATGAGGCAGAAAGTCAGATCAGCAACCTGGGTCTTGGTCACAATTTTCGTGATGCCATATGGCAGCAGGGTCTACCATTAGACAACACATTATGCTGCCAATATCTTCCAGGCGGTAGTACCTCCTTGTTTGATAGCTGCCTACTACCTCTAGATATCTGAACAACCTTCTTATGAGACCCAATAATTTATTTGCCTGATTTACCTTCTTTTCGCAATGGCCCGAGAACTTCAGCTCATTGTCAACATACACACCTAGGTCCTTCTCACATTCAGTCTCATAAGGTGCAGTTTCTTCATCCCGTTGGGTCATATGATACGCCTCCTTACCGTTGGTGCGCCCCAGGTGCATCCTCTTACACTTCGAGACTCTCAGCAGCCATTTCTTCGACCATTCTTGGAGCTCACAGAGATCCGCTTGGTTCTTGATTTCCCAAAATAACTTGGCGTCATCGGCAAACATTTGTATGGAGGAGTGTACAACGTCAGGCATTCTTTCGTCATTTTTTTTGTCAACTTTCAGAAAATCCTCCTACTTTTTTGTTGTGCACCGTCATACATGCGTTTAGAGCCAACTTGCCACTTTCCCTCAACCACTGTCAACAAACAAGATGGATCCAACTGACGAAGAAAGCGCAGCAATTCTACGCCATACTTGGGAAATTATTTTATGTGTTGGCTCTGTCATGTTGTTATTCGCGCATGGTCAAAATGTAAACAACAAATAACATTTTCTTAAACTTTTAAAATCAAGAAATTAAACACAATAATGAGTAATCTTAGGAAGAAGAGTAATAATGGCGTCTGACTGAACAAACCATAATTCTAAAATCATCTTTAAATGAAGAGAATGTCCTTGACCGTATTACAAGAATATTTAATGACATACGTTCCAGTACGTCCTCATGTTAGGTATATAAGCGGTGTCCCACAGACCCAGTACACAATAATAAAACTGGGTAAATGTCGACAGATCCCCATGGCCCTTGATATTAAAAAAATGTGATTAATATAACGCCCAACATCCTGGTTTATAGATTCAAACTCATTGTTATTATTAACTAGATAATTTTTGAACTACGTAATTATTATAGTTTAAAAAAAAATAGGCGATAAAATTCTCTTCACATCTATTCAAACTATACAAATCATTGATCTGATACCGTATGTAATATATGATGCGGACTACAATGTTCTCGTTCTCATTCTTTCAGTATTCAGGTACATGTTGATTACCACCGTCCAGCACACACCGAGGAAGTGTCTGCATTGAACGTGTATATACATAAATTTACAGAAGTACCTCCTCGTACCAGGGTTTTATCTTTTTCTTTGTTGGTCGTTTTCTGTAGCGTTAAAATTGTAGTTGTAACATAAATAAAGTTAAGAGGCTGAGGTAACCATTAGTTTTGTCGTTCTCAACACACCCAAGCCTTGCACGGTGCTGTTTACAGTCTGAAAAAAAAACGGTGGAGGAAGTGCGAGTTTGTCCAGATTACACTCGGAGGGACGATGGACAATCTGAAAATTTTGACATAAGCTCGAGCATTAGTTTAGATTTTAAGTAAAATCGTCACTGGTTTAGCAGGTATATATAGACAGTATAGGCATATAAACAGTGGCGAAAAGTAAGTCGGTTCAACAGGATATCCCAGGAAAGCCGTTAACATCTTATTCATAAGCTCGTTGAACAGGCTTTGTGTGAAATATAACAAAGTCTAAGACTGCTTTTAGTATCCTGGTGGTCCAGTGGTTAGCGTTCCCCGGTCACAGTCATAGGCTTGTGTGCCGTGGGTTCGAATCCTGTTGGGTTGAGGTGTTGATTGTATGTAGAAGTCCGCGTGCTTTATTGGGCTAATGAAATATATATATATATATATATATATATATATATATATATATATATATATATATATATATATATATATATATATATATATATATATATATATATATATAGTTGTACAATGCAGTGCTTAGGAGTGGCTAGGTGAGGAGGAGCTGCTCAGAGCACTAGCGTAGCTAGGGGGGGGGCGGTGGGGCGGTCCGCCCCGGGCGGCACTTTTGGGTCTGCTCATCACCCATATCTGCAGCTACTGGAGACGTTAATCCATCCCTTTGTATCGGCGGCAAGTTAATCCTTGTCGTGTCTGACCTAACACCTGACCCACATCATCACGGCCACGTCATGAGCTACACCCTTGCTATGAGGCCCCCCGCCACACACACAACCTGTAACCTGTTGAGGATTAAGGAAACAACTTCAAACAAGTACGCCAGTGAGCTCATGTGGTGTGGGTCAGGTGTTAGGTCAGATACGACGAGGATTAACTTGCCGCCGATACAAAGGGAAGGATTAACGTCTCCAGTAGCTGTAAAACCATGCAGTCTCGGGTCATATCAGTTCATGTACAGCCGACCAATCCACCAGTTACAAGCAATTCACTTCAGTTCTGCACAAGTCTCCATCGTGACAAGACGAGGGGAGGCTAGACGACTTTTAAGTTCTCTTGTGTTTTCGATCCAGTTATTTACTTCGTTGGAAGACATAATACTATAAGGTAAGAAATATTAAAGTATTGGTTAAAAAATATTGATGTGACTTTTGATGCGGTACTGAGATTAAATATTAAGATTTTGTTTCACAGCATTGCGATTTTATACTAAGACACTATCCTCACTGGGGTACAGACAAAAGCCCCCCCGACAGACGAAAGCCACCCAGACAAAAGCCCCTACTTTGATCGGGGTGGCTTTTGTCTGACAATGAAGACAAACTATTTAATATATATATATATATATATATATATATATATATATATATATATATATATATATATATATATATATATATATATATATATATATATATATATAAAATTGAGTCACTGTGCAATATGTATTTTTTGGCAAGGTCACGGGGAGGGCAAAACTCAAGGCAGCCACTTGGGCATACACACACTCTAGCTACGCCACTGCTCTCTCTGTCCATGTAATCCAGTTGCCTCTGAAGATGTCTTGAATAAAGACGAAAGCTAAGGTGCTCCATTGTTAACCTTTTCCCTGTGTGATTTTATCAAGATTTATCCTATCCACGTTTTTTGTGGATCTACATTATATATATATATATATATATATATATATATATATATATATATATATATATATATATATATATATATATATATATACCTGTTTTGATCTTTTACTTACATTTATCCTCCTCACCACTGATCGTCTTGTTAGCCGCTTGGGCGATCGGTCACGTCTCTGCTGCACACTGTTGGCAAATACTGGGCATGCACCGGCTCCTGAATGTACATGATCCTGCTCGTGTTGGTCAAGTCTGGTCTTGAAAGAGCTCTCACTCGGTGCCGTCACAACACTTTCTGGTAGATTGTTCCAAGAGTTCACAACTTTCACTCCGAAAAAATTTGCCTTCACAGTTTTCTGGACTTGCGGCTTCTTCAATCTTGAGCTGTGACCCCTTATGGGGCGAGCGTCCGCCAGCTCCAAGTAAGGACACTGGACTGTGTAGTGCCCCTTGAGATGCTTATATACCTCAATTAGGTTGCCCGTCTGTTGTATAAGCTCGGCAAGTTCAGGCGCTCCAATGTCTTAGGGTAGCTGTAGTATCGAATTGCAGGCACCAGTCTGGTGGCCCTCCTTTGAACATTTTCAACCAACTGACAGTCCCTAGTATATCTCGGGGACCAGCCGGGATGACAGTACTCCAGATGGGGAAACACTTCACTTTTGAAGATCGTTACGAGGGACGGACCGTCTAGATATCTGAACTACCTTTTTATAAGACCCAATAATTTATTTGCCTGGTTTACCTTAGGCGGTGACCAAGGTTGAGCATCGCTGTGATGTCTGTTTAGGCCCTTAAGTTCCTTTGATTTGTAGGATCTGTAGATACACCCGACAATAAGTCTCTTCCCCTTAATTTAATTTTACACCACTTGGAAGTTGGACTCTTCAAAATATCCTCTCCCTGTACCCTCGCCTGGCTGGCTCTGAGGTCTTGCCGAGCATAGATAACCGATTGCCCAAGGATGAAAGTAAAAATAAAGGTTGTTATTGTCGCTGATATTATTGTGCGCTGGAGGAGCAGTGAACGAGACGGGCAGCAGCCGACTACCATAACAAAAACAAGAGGTTGCGTTATCGTGTGTTGACGATGTCCTGTCAGGGCGGATCTCTTACGTGCTTCTTTTACTTATACAAGTGATGTCTACCCACTCTGACACGGTGAGATTTTAAACGGTCAATTTATAGTCTTGCACCGGTCTTTCTTTCGCTGTTATTAATGTGTATTTCGTAATGTTTAGACAATTCTAAGACATTTTTCTTCTATGATATTCCCACCGGAAATTAAGGATAACCGAGATATTAAATTATCAATATTATTTCATTTGCCCTGTCAAGTTTTGCCACTGTCAGTTTCTAACATCTCATCCAGTTGCTTCAAAGTCTTCAGGAGTAAGTTCCTGTTGATGAGACATCACAAGCTCTTCCACATCATCCTCCTCCACTTCGAGTCCCATTGAATGACCAAGGGACACAATCTCCTTGTCCAACTCTGTTTCTTCCTCAAATCCCTCAAAATCATGGACTGCTGTTGGCCACAGTGTTTTCCATGCAGAATTCAGGGATCGACTGGAGACTTCTTGCCATGATGACACAATCAATTTTGCAGCCTCCAGGATGTTGTATTGCATCTTCCAGAACTGTGCCAGTGAGAGATCAGGATCAGTGGCAGTTGCCTGATGACACCTTCTAAACATTTTCTTCATGTACAGCTTCTTGAAGTTGCTGATTACATTCTGGTCCATTGGCTGCATAATTGATGTAGTATTGGGGGGCAAAAACAACAAAGTCAAATTGAACCTCCAAAGTGCTGGCAAGTTCAGGGTCATGACCAGGGGCATTATCCAGAAGGAGAAGAGCCTTTGAAGGGAGTTTATTGGTGGTCAGGTAGCTCTTCACAGAAGGGCAAAACACCTCAACATCCCATTCATTAAAGAGCTGTCTTGTTACCCATGCCTTACGGTTGGACTTCCAATAAACTCCAAGTTGTCCTCTTACCACCTTTTGTTGCTTGAACACCCTGGGGTTTTCAGAGTGGTAGACAAGCATAGGCTTCAGTCGGAAATCCCCTGAAACATTGGCACCAAGCAATAGAGTGAGACGGTCCTTCATGGGTTTATGCCCAGTTAAAGAGGCTTCATCTCTGGTGATGAATGTACTTTTGGGCATTTTCTTCCAGAACAGCCCAGTTTCATCCACATTGAACACTTGCTGTGGAAGATAATTTTCTTCATCCACCAGTTCCTTAAACTCCACTACAAATTTTGCTGCTCCTTCTTTATCTACACTGGCAGCCTCACCATGCCTAACAACACTAAAAATGTCACTTTTCTTAAATTTCTCAAACCAGCCCTTGCTGGCCCTAAACTTTTCAAACTCAGTTTCAGAATAACTAGGTTGCTCTTCCTTCAAATGTTCGTAAATTTCCCTGGCTCTTTCACAAATAAATTCAGTAGAAATTGAATCTCCTTTCATTTGTTTTTCCTTAATCCAAATAAGAAGTAACCTCTCTGTTTCTGCAATTAATGATCTACCTTTAAACACTCTGGTAGATTTATCTCTCACTTTCACTTCTTTAAATTTGTCTTTCTGCGAAAGAATTGTCGACACAGTTGATGCCGACATGCCATATTCTTTACTAAGCACATTTGTTCTAATGCCTTCTTCATGTTTCTTAATGATTTCCTGTTTCACTTGAATTGAAATCGCCTTTCTAGATTTCTTTGGACCCATGCTGGATTCAATACAGTAATTTCACCACTAAAATTTTAAGTTCACTTGCTGTAATTAAAGATTATTTTATTTAAATCAACACTACACTGCGCTATATATTGTCAATATGTTAGCTAAAGTTCAGAATGACCAATAATTGTACTGTAAAAAGTAAAAATACTCTGTGTTCAAGAGACCCACAAGCAAGATGTTTCCTCCACTGAACAGAGACACAAACAGATGCCTTGGTGGGTGAGTGAAGTGGCTGATGGGCGCATCAAAAACTAGTTCCATGGACTGCAATTATATTAAATAAGTGTTAAAATGAGTACCTGTAATAATTTTAATATAAAACTTGGAAAATATTGAATAGCACAACCTTCTTGATATTTACTCCAATGGAAACAAATGTAAGCCCTAGAACCGATTACTGTATTGGCGGACTAACCTACCAGCCGATGAGCAAGCCAAAACATGTTGACATGTTTTCGTAAGAATTTCGTTTATCAAATTTTTGTTCGTTAACCGAATTGAAGATTCTTATGGAAAGTAATTCGTTAACCAAAGCGTTCGTTAACCGAGGGACCACTGTCGTAAAATAAAATTAATTGGAATAGCTAATTTCCAGTCTTGAATAGTTGGCTTATTCGGTTTCATTTCATTTTATTATCAAGAGTTTTTAGATTTTAGGATTAGTTATGAGCTATCCTGTTTCAATTTAGGGCAAACTCTTTTTCCCTATTGATATTACAGTATACAAGTATTGGTGTCTGTTGGGTGTGGGAAATAACTACTGTAGTGTGATAGGTCTCAGAATGTATGGCATCTTCTTCTGGGAATGACTTTAGATACTGTACATCATAAAATACATCCCTTAAGGACATTTTCCTTCGTGAATATTCACATTTATGTTTTCAATTTTCTCCCAGTGTTTAGATGATTGTGATGTTGGTAAAGTTTAGTGTAGGCCAGTTCACTCAGCATGTGTTTTCAGACCTCTACATAGATTTTGATGAAGTCAAAGTGTACCAGGAGTAGTTAAAAATGTGATACAGTACAGTAGAAGGCAAATTTTAATCTGGTTTAGATTACAGTATTTCAGAATGTGCAGTAGTCATAAAAGTCATTTAATTTCAGGATGTTCTGTCTGCAGTGCAAAGGGGTGACCTGAACTGGCTGGAAAAATACACATCTGAAAATGAAGTAGACTGGCGGACTTGTATTCACCGTAAATCTGGTGACACTGCTCTTCACATTGCTGCAGTAGCTGGCTGTACACAAATCATGAGGTTTGCCACTTATCAATTACCAGTTCATTGCTAAGAGCCACATATGAGTATTTTAAGAAAATACTGTACTGTATACAATCAATAAAACAAGTATCGACCAAGCAACCACCCTGCCATGTGTAACAATATGAAACATCGTGCCTTTCCTATGACTCCTTGAAGGTGCAGATGCCATATCAGTGATGTTTGAAGAGTGAGAACACAAGCAGAGGACAAAGTGTGGAGAGACAGCCAGCGTGCACCTGACTACAACAATAACAAACACCAAACTGACCAAATGTGAAGTGAGGCGAGAGCGGTAGTAATCGTTACCCACGTGGCTAAATATGCTGAGATTTTCCAAGATAATTTCATATAACTTGGCATATCCTGAGTTATTTTTTAATAAATTCCGAGAGTATAGCTTTGCCGAATTATATAAAATTCCGAGTTACCGAGGGTTTACTGATATTATTTTAGTGGTTACATTACCCTGGTTCAATTACTCATGAACCCAGCAGCCTCCAGAAAGCCAGTGATTTCAACTGGTTGCTCCTGGAGAACTCTGGAAGAATATACAGTACTGTACAGTACAGTTTGTTGAAAAGCTGTCTTGTGTAATGAATGGACAAGAAGCTTTTAGGTGGTAAAGGTGTGATGTACAGGGCTGAGTTGCCATTTAGGCTGTGGATTTTAGGTGACTTGAATTCTGTATCTATTGTGCTTATGGAAGGGATGGTGGCAGAAACACAGTCTTGATAGGTGAACTCTTGTTGATGTGAGAGAGGAGCATATTTGGTGCCAAGCCCTCCATTACAGGATTTGGCTGTAGTTTATTGATTGAGGAGGATGTTTTTGATTATGAATGTGTTTGTTGGTTTTCTTAATTTGTATTCATTATTATTACAGTATTATTATTATTATTATTATATTTTTGCCCCCCAGGCCCTGATGTGGGACATTGACTTGTGCCCTGGTGGGCTAATCCCATAGAAAAAGAAAGAAAAAAATTAGAGCGGTCAAAAATGTCAGATAGTGTGACGATGATTGACTGTATCTCTGAGTCTGTAGGAGCTGGCCATCCTTGGCCGTGAAAAAATACTTAAAAGTTCAGTAAAACAAAAAGCTCGATCTGCCTTCAGTGTTTGCCCAAATTGGGTGATGTGCATGCTTACATTATAAATATCAGCATCAAATCTACGCAAACACTATTTTCTTGTACAATGCATATTGTTTTTCACTTAACACTCTTGGGTTTGGGTATAGGCACTCTCCTGTAAGACACTCAGGGTCTGGCCTGTTACTCACCTCACCACACTTAACTGTTTTGTAAAATTGTCTACAATCAGTTTTATATGAGTAATCACGATAAAATAATCATTTCTATACATAAGTGCGAGCAGAAGGCATCAGGAGGCACCACACTATCACTAGACACAACTTTAAAAAAATAAAAATTCTGATTATTTATGAGAGGATTTTTCCATTATTATTTATTTGTATGTGTTTTATGTGTGTGTGTGTCTACACACACACACACACACACACACACACATATACAGTATACAGTATATCATGAAAACTGTTTTTTAGAAAAAATACATTTATTTTTTATTTATTTAAATTTTTTCCAAGATTTGTGTCATTGTTGAGACATGTCATTACTCAGGTGTCCGGTACTTGGTATATTTACTGTATGTAGAAAATTATTCTGTACAGTATTCTTAAATTTCTTAGTACAGTAGTACCCCGATTTACTCGGTCAATTGAACCCATGGGGTACTGCGGAAAGTGAGAACCGCGTAAAGTGAACAACAGAACATATGGGATTAATTCCAATAGAGACTGGCCCGACCCCCAAATCCACTTTTTCAGACACAATACCTACGTTGTAGTAAAAATTACATCTTAATTTTATGATGGTATGCACACACACAATTATTAATTAAGAGAAATATCAATAATATTAGTTTTTTTAACACTTACATTAGTAGAAAAGATGGCTGGGCACACAGGGATGGGGTTTGGTTCCGAGGCAGAGAGCAGATTATTGGCCCTCATCTGTATCACTTGTATCAATTGTATCACTATCCACCACATAGGCTTGCAGGGCCTCTTTGTCAAACCCCTCAAAGTCCATACAAGTCCATATCCTCACTATCACTATCACTGACTTAGGCCGGCTGTGGTGGGTGGCGGGTGAAGAACTCGGTAATGTTTTGATGACTGGGCGACCTTGTGCGCATCCTGCCCGCACCACTTCCCGCGTATATGAGTAGATGCACCGCGGAAAGTGAAAGTTCGGTTCTGGCGAGGCACCGCGTAAATGAGAAATCGCGGAAAGTGAAACCGCGTAAAGCGGGGTAATACTGTACTGGTATTAGAAGGTAAAGATAGTGAGTTGTGCCTATGGAAGATTACCAGTGTTCATAGTAAAAGTATGAGACCAAAAGGGAGAGTTTCATCTGAATTGATAATTAATCTTTGTTAACAGGTAAATTTCTTTAATTTTAAAATACAGTATTATGTGCAAGATATATAAAGGCTCATTAACTTTAAGTAGTCATTTATTTTTAATAATTGGACTTCATTTTACAGTTGGCTTCTTGCAAATGGTTGTGATGTGTGCCTGGAGAAACAGAATATGGATGGCAAGAGACCATTGCACTCAGCAGCTCAGGCAATGCACTTCCCCATTGTGAAGATCCTTTTAGATCATGGTAAAGACTTTGTCGTGCTGTATATTCATAATATTTCTTCTATAGTAGAGGTATAATAATCCTAATTGGTTTAAGCGGGAGGCCCATTACTGGTATGTATATTGAAGGGTTAACTGCACCTCTTGTATACTTTTCTTCTGTCTTTTGTGTTCCTTTTGTCTTCCTAGCTGCCTTTTTTTCCATTCTTCCCAGCTCTCTATTTTTGTGTTCTTCTCTTCCCTGCTGTCATCCTGTTCTATACCACTAAATTAAGATCATCCTTTACCTCCTGAAGTACAGCTACTCCTCGACTTACGACCACCTTCGACATACAACCGCCCCAGTTGGACCAATTTTTTCAAATTACGTATTTTCGAGTCCCGACATTAGTGATTTTGCTGTGTACTAACAAAATTTTCGTTTGTAATTCCCTTTAAAATGGCTGGCATACATAGAAGTGAGAGTTTTGTGGTACTGAGACACCCATTTTAGATTCTCTATGTATATTATCTTCACATTTTCGACTTACGACCAATTCGACTTATGACCTGAATTTGGGTCCCTAACCCCGTCGTAAGTCGAGGAGTGGTTGTATTATCATGGTGATGAGCCCTGGTTTGCAAGTGTGAATGTTTTCTTGTCACAGTATTGGTTTATTTTCCTGTCATTCAGTATGTTTCATTATGGGTCCTTCAGATTTCTTTCAAACTTATCTCCTCCACCTACACATGGGCATGAACATGCTTGCTTGAATTTGTGCATACGTGTGTGTGTGATAGACAGAGGACTTATAATTGGAAATGTAAAGGAGAAAGATAAGAAATTTTGAGATACATAGTTGAGAGAAGAGGTTAGGTGATTGATCAGAAAATTGTGCTTTATGGTAGGACACAGACAGTTGTGTGTGATAGGAATTGCCTTCCATATTAATCTTCAATTTGGTTAACGAAAAAAATTCGGTCAACGAATTCCTTATGAATTCCTCTCAACATGTTTTCGCTTGCTCACCAGCTGGAATATTCGTCTGCCAATACAGTAATCGGTTCTAGGGCTTAAATTCTTTCCCATTTGAGTAAATATCAAGAAGGTTGTACTATTCAATAATTTTCCAAGTTTTATATTAAAATTTTTAGTCATTTTAACAATTAGTTAACATAATTGAAGTACAGGAAACTAGTTTTTAGTGTGCCAAACAGCCACTTGACTCACTCAGCATGGCGTCAGTTTTTGTCTCTGCTCAGTGGAGGTAACATCTTGCTTGAGACTCTCTTGAACATAAACTATTTTTACGTTTTTACAGTACAATTATTGGTCATTCTGAAATTTATTTTACATATTGACAATATATAGTGCAGTGCAATGTTGATTTAAAGAAAATATCTTGAATTACACCTAGTGAACTTAAAATTTTATGGGTGAAATGACGGCATGAAGCATAGGGTGATTTCTCTTCCACCCCACTTCCTTCTCTTCTCCCTTCTCCTCCACCCCCACTTCTAATTCCCATCATCATCATCATCAACCAGGAGCCTTCTACATACACACCTCAAAATAAGTGTACTTTACTGCAATTTTTTTTTACTTTGTATGTAATTTTCAGTGAGCTGGAACCAATTACCCAAAATCCCATTGAAACAACGGTTTCAGTTAACGAAATTTTCGGTTAACGAACGACCTTCTGGAACGAATTGTGTTCGTGAACCGAGGGACCTCTGTACTTTTGCATAAAAATTTGATCATAAAAATTTGCACTACTGTATACTCGAGTGTATAAGGTAATTTATAATTTTATAAATGTGACTTGTTTTCTTTATTTGTTGTACCTTATAATTATTATCAGCCATGACTTCATATTATGCAGTACATCATTATTCCAGGAGCAACTGTAGACCCCATAAAGCGTGGTGACTGGACGCCACTAATGCTAGCATGCGCCAAAAGATGCCTCAAGGTGATCCAGCTTCTTGTAGAACATGGAGCTAATCTTCGCTGGGTTAACAAAGATGGCTGGACAAGCTTCTTAATTGCTTGCAGAGAAGGATTTGAGTGTATAGTTAATTATTTACTGGATGTTGACAGTTCACTGTGGAATACTGTCAGTAACAATGGTAGAACTCCTTTGCACACAGCAGGTGAGTTAAAATGGCAAAATCTCTAGATACTGTAGTGGTTTTTTCCAAATTTTTTTGACATTGACTTATGCAAATATGTACTGCAACCAAAATATTGACAATTCATATCTGAAATTTCAGGAAATGTTTATTAGGTTTAAGTATCTCAACACTCCTCAAATCAAGAATGTTTCTGTAGTGTTGTGTGGAATTTTCTCTTATTAGTTATCATATATTCTTTATTTTAACTTCAAAATTGTCTTATTAGCAGTGTAAATAAAACTCCTTATAATTTTTATGAACAACAGTGTTTCTAAAGTCATATAAGGTAAAACTCATTAATTTTTACTATCAAGATACTGTATAAATAATTAATTATGATTGTTGAAGTTCTCACACCTGTGATGAGCTTAAAAGTTACAACAAATATATAACTACCGGTAATAGTAAAGAACTTAATGGCACGCCTGGCTGGGGGGGGGGGACCAGTACAGTGAGTGTATGAGAGATGGCTGGGGGAGATAGTTTCACCTCTTCCACCTGTGCCTCTCTCGGCCTCAGTTTCCGCGTGTACTCAGCAGGGTAGGGGATTTGGGTTGTGTGCCTCTGCTGACCAACCCTTAGCAACAGTTGGTAAAAGGTCAGTCAGCAGAGACAGCACATCCTAGCAGTGTGTACACTATTTTGCATAAAATAAGTTTTTTATGCTTTCAATACTTTTCCTAAATATTCTCTGCTTAAATCAACTTGACAATCAGTGACAAAGATGATAAAGTAAACTTACAGTATAGTGGTTGTGTGGTGCGCATTTAAACTGAAATAGGCCTAACGAGCCAAGTCACCAGATACACTATTGATAAACTGCCCACTGCTTCAACAATTATGATCACCTCCCACACAGAATACACACCCATGCTCTTCATAATTCTTATTTTATAGTTTTATATTATATTTTCTTTATTTCTAAGTCATATTAGAGTATTGAAATGATTTTTTCACAACCTCACTTATCTGCAATTGATATTTTAACATCCCTATTTGATTTTCACAAAGCAAACCCTGCATAGTCATAAAGAAAAATTACAATACCCTACAGTAATGTTTCAAACTACAGTACTCAGGCTCGCTTCAGGTCTCATATTCTGCTATAAGGCCCGCTTCACAAGAGTGTGTGTGTTTTTTCACACGTGAGGATCCAAGCAGTTTATAAATTAACGAAGTTCAGTGGGACATTCATACGGAGCACGCGCACCCATAACAGCCAGGTGAGTTGCCCGTGGCTGCCGGGCAGCTGTCGAACATCTCGTAAAGTAGCAGAGATAGAACATAATGATGTCAGGTAATACACATTATGGGACATTCCACATGGATTATAAAAGACAGGGAGTTTAAGTTTTTCCACTTATAAATGCCACCGACTTGACTTAACAGAATATAACTTGTATTGCTGGAATTCTTGCAAGATGGCGATTAATTTGAGTGTAAACATTCCTTAGTTTGCACTAGACATAAAAATTATAGTAATTAACTTAGTACATTTGAGTACAGGTTATGATAATTTATGCTGTTGCTCAGCAGTTGTGGTTGCAGTTTCGAAGCTTCGTGACATCACTAGTGTATAATGAGTTTCCATATGCCCAGTTGTCTGAGTGCAAAAGTAGCCAAATTGAGCCATCATTTTTACTTGTGTCCAAAGAAATGTATACAGTGGTTCCTCGGTTAACGAACACAATTTGTTCCAGAAGGTCGTTCGTTAACCGAAAATTTTGTTAACCGAAACCATTGTTTCAATGGGATTTTGGGTAATTGGTTCCAACTCACCGAAAATTACACACAAAGTAAAAAAAAATGCAGTAAAGTACACTTACTTTGAGGTGTGTCTGTAGAAGGATCCTGGTTGATGATGATGATGATGGGAATTAGAAGTGGGGGTGGAGAAGGGAGAAGAGAAGGAAGTGGGGTGGAAGAAAAATCACCCCATGTTTCATGCCGTCATTTCACCCATAAAATTTTAAGTTCAAGATTATTTTCTTTAAATCAACACTGCACTGCACTATATATTGTCAATATGTAAAATATATTTCAGAATGACCAATAATTGTACTGTAAAAACGTAAAAATAGTTTATGTTCAAGAGAGCCACAAGCAAGATGTTACCTCCACTGACCAGAGATACAAACTGACGCTTTGCTGGGTGAGTCAAGTGGCTGATTGGCACACCAAAAACTAGTTTCCTGTACTGCAATTATGTTAAATAAGTGTTAAAATGACTAAAAATTTTAATATAAAACATGGAAAATTATTGAATAGTACAAACTTCTTGATATTTACTCAAATGGGAACGAATTTAAGCCCTAGAACCGATTACTGTATTGGCGAACTAATATTCCAGCTGGTGAGCAAGCGAAAACATGTTGACATGATTTTGTAAAAATTTCGTTAACTGAATTTTTGTTTGTTAACCAAATTGAAGATTCTTATGGAAAGTAATTCGTTAACCGAAATTTTTTTAAATGAGGCGTTCGTTAACCGAGGGATCACTGTATTCCCTTTATGTGTTTGCCCTTAGGACAATTATTTCTTTTACCACTATTGTACATATGTGTGTGTGTGTGTGTGTGTTTGTGTGTGTGTGTGTGTGTGTGTGTGTGTGTGTGTGTGTGTGTGTGTGTGTGTGTGTGTGTGTGTGTGTGTGTGTGTAGACACCCACACACACACACACACACACACACACCTTGCGGGATGCCATAAAACTCATGGGCTTCCTGTCCCGGCCGTGAAAATGGCGCCAACTTTAAAACTCCGCAGACATTCTTGGGTACATCCAGTGTGTCATCCGCGAATAATCGAAGACCGCAATTTATAGGGGAATGCTGTACTGTAACCTTGCAAGCAGTTTGGAGTTCTTTTAAGTGCTGCTTTGCTGGGATCTTTTATGTCATTGATTTCAATAATGCTTACCTGGTACTCAGGATTGTATTATTATTCAGACACATCTTGATTGCTAAGGCACAAATTGATTAGATGTGCAGTTCTATAGTATATTGCCATAATACAGATTGAATGAAATTTTTGTTTCAGCTATGCATGGACATGAATCTGTAGTCAAAATTCTGTTACACCGAGGCAACTACAAGAAGGATGAAGATGATGCATGTGGCAACACCCCTTTAATGGAGGCTTTCCGTATGGGACATTTGAACATTGCCCGATTGCTCATCATTGAACACGGGACAGATATTAAAGTCCGTGACAAAACTGGACGAACTGCATTTCATATTGCAGCTGAAGCTGGTCAATTAGAAAGTGTTAAAACTTTGATTGAAACATATGGAGTAGATGTGAATCTTTTGTCAGATGCAGGTAAGGTATGATAATTGTTGTTCTTGTGTCATGTTATTCCAAGGTATTTTATGTGTTCAGCTAGGGAGAGATAAGTGAGGAGTTACTGTGTACCTTAATTTGTACTTGCACCTATATTTTTAAATAAGCCATCTTAATCTGGGTTTAATTCACTCTACCCTAATCACTTTGAATTTAACATTTAGCAAACTAAATTTCAAATGCTGTATTGTATAGTGATTTCAATATGTGTCATGCATGTATCATGCACAAACATGTCCATCTCAAGCATTAGAAATGCTGCTATATTTTACCATTGCATGTATCATGTCATTTCATCCTTGTTCACAGTAAATAATATTTGGGTAAGGCAGTCAAGTTTATTTTCAACTTTCAGGGTCATCGGCTGTACATTGTGCTGCCAGAGAGGGACAGACTGAAGTTGTAGTATTTCTGATAAAAATGGGATGCAAAGTCAGTATAAAAGACAACAATGGCAGGACAGGTAAGAATCAATGTAGCTGAATTTCATATGTCTGGTTAGCAAAGACATTCAATTAACATATGGTTGGCCTTGCTATAATATAGTTAGTTATTGTATAGAGTAGTAGCTACCGTATTTTAAGGCATAAAGCCATACCTGCAACATATATTTTTCATAAATCGCTCATAGGAGCGATTTTGGCTTGTGCAGGACAAAAGACCCTTGTCATTGACTCGATGAGTATAATTCGGTCAAAACCTGTTGAATACATTTCACATAGTATAACAACTGCTGATACATCAGGACACAGTTTGAATAATACGATCAATATACGGTACAGTACATAAATACAGTCGGCCCTTAACATACGCGGGGGTTAGGTAACAGAGATACCCGTGAATGTTAAAAATCTGTGTACTATTGCTGCCCCCCCCCCCTAAAAAACTCCTGGCCCCCCATGTCCTTATTTACCGTATATACCTGTGTGTAGTTCGAGTTTTTAAGACCAAATTATTTGGCAAAAAATTGGGGGTCGACCTCTAAACGGGTAATAGTTTCGTTAGGTTGAAATTATTTACCAGTAACTACCAGTAAACAATGGAAACAACGCACCAACGCACCACCAGCTGTGAGTGTCGGTACAGTTGCCAGGGCAGATCTCTTGCGTCATCATAGCAAGCCCAAAGTAGCCAAATGCATGGTATGGTATGCACAGGACGATGTAAAATATAAAGAATTCATTTTTTAAAGTTTATTTATAGATACTGTACATAAATTTTTGTTCATTACATTTGAAACATCAATCTTTGTTAATTAAATTTGAAACAAAAGAAAACTACGATACCGTATTTTCATTAAAATATTACATCACAAGTACAGTATATTTTACCTTAACTGTGACTGAATGAATATATTCTCAGAAATAAATATGGAAATGTAATATTTTGGCTGAAATGACATACATATTACAGTGGAAAGTGGGATAAAATCATGAAGAAAACAATGACTCGCTTTCTTTCGTTGCTCAAAAGATTTTACCGTAATCGCTTTTCGAATGGTTTTCAGTTAAAAAACTGTTGTACTGTACATGTCTTTGCACACGAGTTAGCTGGCTTAGTGGGGAAGCGGGAGGACAGCTGGGCAGTTGGTGGTGAAGGGGGAGCGTTGCAGAGGTAGCGTTGCCGTTGCTATGGTAAACAGGGAATACAGATGGTAAATGGCGACTATGTTAAACTTTCATTTGGCTTTTATTTACTGGTTTGGCAATACAGTATTTTTTGTTGTAACTTGTTTATTGATAATATTTTTATTTATTCCTCAAATTTACGGGTACTGTATACTGTATATTGTTTTAAGAAAACTGCGGCTACAGTAAGAAAATACACACAAGTTTTTCCTAAATACTCCCTGCTAAAATGGGGGGGGGGATCTTATATGGCCGTGTGTATATGCTATAAATTACAGTAGTTAATATGATTTTTTTTTTTTTTAATTTATCCCAACTTCCCCTACATCTTACTTACTGTAGGTAAGTAAAATTAATATGTTAGTATTTAAAGACAGTAGCTCAGGTTCACCAGCAACCTAACAAAAATATATATCTAAGAAAACTTATTTTTCACCTCAATAAAAAAAATTGATTAGTGGACTAGTACTTTTATTATTCAGCTTTTCTAAAAGAAAGAAAAGATGCCACTGCTGCTCTGCCACCATCTTTGTTTACAGGAGCATCAGGGTGTATTGTTGTAGTCCGAACATTTCATAGACATTAATAATAATGCTATTACATTTCACACTCACCAGTTTTAATTTATATCATATTATATTTGCTTATAGCACTGTGGATGGCCTGTGCATCAAGGAAGAATACATGTGCAAAGAAACTGGTAGACTTTGGAGCTCAGGATATAGCGGATAATAAGGGCATATCACCATCTCAACTTATGCCAATATATCATCTCTCTCCAGTCACACTACCAAACACAGAGGACCTGTTCAGCACTTCCTAGAATCCCATTTGTAGTCAAGTCTGGAGGGGGGGGACTGATTCTCTCCCATGGGTGATGACACGAGCTAAAACTGAAAGGTCAACCCACAATATTATGCTTTAAAGCAGAGCCATGTGAGGCCAGAGCAGCAAATGGGTTAATGTTATGGCAAAGACTCTTACACCCGGAGTTTTAATAACCCTCCTTCTATCTTCGGTGAAGGACCTGCAGGTAGGAGTCGTTCCCTCTGTGGTACAGTAATAGCTGCTAGCTAGAATCCTTCTTAACTGGAACACCATAGCCAGAATTGAAATTTTCTTGGAAAATTGTTCCCAAAGCTGCAATTAATGGGAAAATTCTGGCTTTGGGAAAGATTTCCCAAGGAACACATTTTTCATGAAATTTCCGAGAAAACTTTCCCTGTACCCGGAAAATTCCAGGATGGTTTTTCCGGTTTGAGATGAAAATTGCACATTTTCTGGAAGTTTGTAGAAATTTTCGGTACCTGGAAGATTCCAGGAATATGGGATTTTTCCGAGCTTTGGGTGGTGAAATAATGCATCATTCTGAAAAACGAGAAATTTCCATAAAATATATATGGGCATTTTATTGGCTAGAAATCTTAAAATGGATAAAACCAAATATCACTGGTAGGACATCGTCACTAAACTTAATGCAACATATACAGTAATATCTCCGTTAGCTGAATCCCTCAAACCTGGAACTCTCCGATAGCCGGAATTGAAATTTGCTCGGAAAAGCTTAGATTTTGGCCTCCCCAAGACTCTGCACTGGTCCTTCGGACGGCAGACGTCGCTCAACCCATTCTCGATTTCGACTTCCTTACCTTCCACACCTGCGTTTCGACCCAAGCAACCTCTGCCTCATCCTCGAGCCTACATCACACATGATCCGGGGTACATGTGCTGCGGTCACCGACACCATCACATGCTTCTTTCCGTCGAATGAGTTCTCCTCCCTGCTCAAGGAGTTCAATGAACTTTTCTCAACCCGAGTCTCTCCACCACCACATCGAGACTACAGGACCTCCAGTCTTCACGCCGCCACGTTCGTCCCTGAAAACACAGCCAAGGCGGAATTCAACAGACTCCTGCAAGACGGCATCATTCGACTTCACAGCCAATATCCAATGATTGGAGGATATACGACAACTACAGAGCCCTTAACCTCGTCACCGAACCTAACAGGTACCCTATCCCGCATGTCCAGGGCTTTCACCACAACCCACAGCATGACATCTTCTCGAAGATCGACTTGGAGCGTGCTTTCCACCAGATTCCAGTGGCACCTGCAGATACCCAGAAGACAGCCATCACCACTGTTCGGTCTCTTCGAGTATGCCTACATGAGTTTTGAATTACACAATGCAGCTCAGACCTTCCAGAGGTACGTGAACCACATTCTTCGCGACCTTGACTTTGTCACTGTCTATATAGACGACATTCTTGTCACATCTCCGACGCCTGCCAAGCATCATCACCACCTACAGCTCCTTCTCCAACACCCGCAGAACAACATTTCTGTGAGCCCCCTTTTCATCCTCAGGTACCTACTGCTCCAGATCCTACTCTTGATGAGGATCCTGCTCCTGATGAGGATCCTGCTCCTGATGAGGATCCTGCCCCCGATGAAAATCTTGCACCTGGCCCTGTGAACCCAGACATCCCACCCAGCGACCCCGAGGACTTTGCACCTGTTACGAGAGAAGCATCACATTCCTCGTCCGTACCTTCCTCCGCTCACCCTTCTAATATCTACAACCCTCCTCCTCCAGATGCTTTTCCTCCTGCTTCTCCGACAGATTATGTGTCATTCGACGGAGTCGTCACTCGTAGCGGCCGAGTGGTTCACATCCCCGCTTGCTATGCCTCACCAGTGGGATATGAGCCTGCCTTCAACAAGTTTCCTGCAGCACCCGGAGGGGAGGGGAGTATTGTAGTGGCTAACTCTCCCTTCAACTACTCAGCCATCCTCGCTTCAGCCAATCAACGGCGCCTCTCTTACCATAGCCATCCGTCCTTGAGTCGCTCGCTGATTGGCCAGCTGCCGTCATCGCCTCATGGCCTTTTTATATCACACCTCCATTCCTGAGTAGTCAGGATTGTATAAATACCCCCTTGCCTCATCGGGAAAGTCATTCTACTCCACGCTCTCTAGCTGACAAGACCTCCTCTCCAGAAGTGCCTCAACCACACACCAACTCCCCAGCATCCTACTGCAGTGTACATACAATATACGTGGAGTTACGCTATCCTGAGTTTCCTTCCTCACCTCCATCTTAAGTGCGAGATCTCCCTTAAGTTACCTGTGTATGTGGTCCTAAAGAATGAGAAAGTTGACACCTAAAAGAAAGAGAAAATTGACTAACTGCACCACATACACACGCTACAACTTTCTTCTCGCAATGGCAGTTTCTTCGTCCTGTTGGGACATATGATACACCTCCTTACCGTTGGCACGTCCCAGGTACAGTCTCTTACACTTCGTGATATTGAATCTTAGCAGCCATTTCTTTGACCATTCTTGAAGCTCACAGAGATCCTTCTGCAGCTCTTCACAGTCTGCTTGGGTCTGCTCTGGGTATTAATAAAGAACAGCCCAAATGACCGAACGGCTAATAAGTTGGTTAGTGGTGAAAATAGATAAGAATATAAATAAACTTGTAGGGTTACTGTTACCGCCACAGTAGAATAAACTAGAATGGAAGAAGAGGGGGGGAGGACAGGAGAGAGACAGAGGGAGTGTTGACAACGAGCTTTGCTGAGGTGTTAAGTGAGAAATAGATGGCCTGTGGGGTTCAGGTTGTTTGGTTCACACTCGGGTGGAATGGAGAAAGGAAACTCACAATGTGCTCTCTATATACATGTTGTATTGGATGTACAATGCAGCTTGGTGCTGGGAAGACAGCATGGTTACAAGCGTGATGTAGAGAGAGCTGGTTGGTGAGGACGCTCAGAGAAGGACAGCTTGTGGGTCGCCAGGCTCGTGAGGAGAGGACCGCCAGGGAGGAAGGGAGACGCCAGGCAGGGCGGAGGAGGAGGTGTTGCTGGCTGGTTGGTGTAGGTAGAAAGAGACAGGTCACCACGAGGTCAGGTCTTAAATAGCGGGGGTAGGCGTGGCTTAGTAGTTGACCCCCGCTCCGTGATGTATGGCGGCGCTGGTTGACCTAGACCACGAGGCATACACTGGGGAATTGGTGGGGTCGGCTAGGCAGCGACAAACAGCGTTTGTAGGGGAGAAATCCACTACAGGCCTCCCTCCGACTGACTAGCTCGATCAGTCACTAGCTGTCCAGTGAGCCATCAAGTCAGGGAGTTAATAAGTACTACATTAGACCCGAAACACGTAAGTTTTATACGGTTTAACACCATACTCTACTCAAATATATTATATGTAGTCGTTAATAGTGATGGAACATATGATTGAATTAATTATCTCATATGTAACATATGTAATTTGTACTCTGCAGGTTTTGACCGAATAAAGAACAATCAAGTCCTACGTGCAAGGGTCTCATTATCCCACAGTCGCTCATTGGGCGGTTAAAGTTACCATACGTCCATATTTTCCCGGACATGTCCTTTTTTGGTCATTAATTCTCCGTCCGGCAAGAATTTTTCAATACATGTACAGTATCTCAAAACGTCTGGGATTTTACCCTATTATTTCTCCAAATGTTTCGATGCAAAATTGACCATGAGATAAAAGTAAGAATAAAATATTAATTGGTTCTTGGGAAAAGAGATTGTTGATTAAGAATTATTATTCGAGAGGGAGATGTACAATTTTTCCCAAAACCCCCTGCCCTGGTTATCTGTGTCCGTACTGTGAACAGTAGCGTTTGTTTGTATTTATTTTGTTATCCCTAACAGAACTAAAGTCAAAACTAAAGTGTTTTTCACTTGGTAGAAGAATGGGATGTTGAGTGCTTGGTATGTAGACCACTGGCAAGGATACTGGTTATAATCATTGTCCGCTGGTACTTACGTCTCTGTGGCAAATAAAGGCAAAATAATTACAAACTCACATGGACTCAGACAAGTACAAGAAAGCAGTTCAAGGAGAGAGCATATCAAAAAATTGACAGAATTTTTTTTCTTTTTACGGGCATTAGCCCACCCGGAACAGGTAATGACCCACATTAGGGCCTGGAAGGCGAAAAATAATAATAATAATTATTGGTATGAGATTGCTATTCATAACTCAGGATGGAATGGAGAAAAGGAAACTCGCTAATGTGCTTTATATACATGCTAGCTGGATGTACAATGCAGCTTGGTGCGAAGTGGTGGTTACAAGTGATGTAGAGAGAGCTGGTTGGGTGAGGACGCCAGGAGAAGGATAGCCAGGGTCGCCATGTTTCAGCTGGAAGGAGAGGACCGCCAGTGGTGGCGGAGGAAGTTGCTGGTGGCTGTAGGCAGAAAGAGCTGGACAGATCAACATGAGGTTTGGCCCAATAAGGGGGAAGGGAGTGAAGGAAAGCTGGACTGGCCCAGGTGAGCAAGGGCGTTGGTTGACCCAGACCAGGCATACACTGGGGAATTGGTGGGCCTGCTAGGTAAGGTTAAACAGCGCGAGAGGGGAGAATTCCACACAATACTCCCCCTTCCTCCAGGTTGTGTAGGAGACTTGTTGTCTGGGTAGGGGCTGAAGCAAATATGTGAGGCAGACCGGGTGGTGCGTGCCCCTATGTGAGACAACGGTGCGATGGCGTGGATGAGCCGGTCGTTGGGGGAGCAACTGTCTAGATATTACAATATCTGTGGAGAGAGAGGGAGAATAAGGGTGTGTGGAGGCGAGGACGTTGTGTTTTCACGGTAGTGCCTCGAGTCAGATGCGCCTGCTGGGGTGTGTGGGGCTCTGTCAGTGAGCAGGGGCTGTGTCAGCAGCAGCGAGGGCTCGTGATAACAGCAAATGGGGTCTGACAACAGCAGCAGGGTGCAGGACACAGGGAGGCCTGAGGGAGGTGTGGGGGTCCCATCAGAGTCAGAGTCGGACGGCGGGCGGCAGGGTTACTGCTGGGCCGGGGTCGGCGTCTGAGGCAGGACGGGTGTGCTGTCGGTAGGACGGCAAGCTGGGATGGTGGAAGAGAGCTGGCGTTCAATAGAGTAGCAGGAGTTTCTAGGTTGTCTAACCCTGCGTGGAAAACAGCTGTAGAGTCGGCGCGGTGCTGCTTGCAGGATGCCTGAAGCCCTTCCATGCTACTAAAGACTGGGAGCGATCAGTTTTCCATCCTGTGTGAGTGCGACTGGGGTCACCATTTCAGGGGGTATGAGATTACTTGGTCTGCCACCAGGATGGAATGGAGAGAAACCGCCAATGTGTTTTCAGTATACATGTTGTGGCTGATGGGCCAATGCAGTTTAAAAGGAAGGCTGCAGACACAGCAAAGGTGATGTAGAGAGCTTGTTGGTGAGACGCTCAGAGAAGACAGTTGCAAGCCTGCCATGCAAAGGGTGAGAGGAATTAAAAGGAGGAGGTGTTGGCTGCGCCAGTAGGAAAGAGCCACAGATCACCACGAGGTCAGGTCTAAATAGCAGGGGTGAAGTGGCTAGCAGTTGACCCCGCCTGTGGTGTATGGCGGCGTTGGCTAATTTGTATTCAGAATGAGGCATACACTGGGGAATTGGTGGGGTCGGTTAGGAAGCGACAAACAGAAGCGTTTAGAAAGAATTTATCATAATATTCCTCCGTTGTAGGAGACTTATTAGTTCGCAGGGTTGCAGGAAGTACATGTGAGGCAGAACAGGAAGCGTGCGTGCGGCTCTGGCGTGGCATACCCGCGATGGCGTGGACAGACGGTCATGTATAAACTGCTCCAGATGCTAAATATCGTTAAAGAGCAGGAGAGGAGAATATGCGTGAGGCGATGAATGTTAGGCTTTCACGGGCAGGTACCGAGTCGCCAGATGCGCCTGGGTGTGGGGCCTGGGGCCGAGCAGGGCTGTAAATAAAGCATCGGCATGAGGGCTCGCACAGCCTGGGTCCACAACAGCAGCAGGGTGCAGGACACAGCAGGGGAGCACCTGAGGGAGGTGAGGGTGTGTGGGTCTGCACCAGCCTGAGAGGCTGCATCAGGGGCGGCAGGGGTTACTGCAGTTTCTGGGGTCGGCGTCTGAGAGGACGGGTGTGTTGCTGGAAGGAGGAGCGACTGTCTGCTTAGAGTAGCAGAGCTGCTCTAGGGTGTCTGACCTGTAGAGACAGGGCTGTGAGAAATGATGAGCTGTAGTGGATAATAGCTGTCTTCTCCATGTTGCTTAAAGATTGGGAGCTAGATTATTTCTCCATCCTGTAGCAAGTGAATTCTGGGGTCACCATTTCAGGGTAAGGAGATTGTTGTTCACAGATGGAATGAGAAAGGAAACTGGCCAATGTGCTCTATATGATGTTGTATTGGATAATGAAAGTTGGGGAAGGCAGCATGTTACAAGGGTGACATGTAGAGAGAGCTGGGTTGGTGAGACGCTCAGAGAAGGATAGCTTAGGGTTGCCATGTTTGCAAAGTGGGAGGAGAGGACTCTCGTCAAAGGTGTTGAGGAGGTGCTGGACAGGCTGCAGGTAGAAAGAGCCACAGATCACTACGAGGTCAGGTCTTAAAATAAGTGGGGGTAGGGTGTGGCTAGCAGTTGACCCTGCCCGTGGTGTATGGTGGCGCTGGTTGACCTGAACTAATGCAGGCATACACTGGGAATTGTGGGGTCGGCGAGGGCCAAACAGCGTTTAGGAGAATTTACCACAATACCCCCTTCCCTCCAGGTTGTGTAGGAGACTGTTGTCTGCAGGGTTTTACAGTGCTGGATGTGAGTGGTGAACTGGTTTATGGAGACAAATTACATGGGCGTGATGAGCCGGTCGCTGGCATTAGTAACCGTCTAGATGCTGTCAATATCTGTAGAGAGAGGAGAACAAGGGAGAAGATGAATGTTGTGCTTCTCACGGCAGGTATCATCAGATGCGCCTGCTGGGGGGGCCCAACAGAGCAGGGATGTGTCAGCAGAGCGATGTATGAGTGCCTGTGACAGCAGTGCCGGGTCCACAACAGCAGCAGGGTGCAGGACATTAGCAGGGAGCACCCTGAGGGAGAAAAGAGGGGGTGTGTGGGTTCAAGACTAGGGAACAGAGGCCGTGACTGGCGTGCAGGGCTGGCCTGCTGGGCCGGGTCGGGCGCTGGAGGCAGGACGGTGTGCTGGGCTCTAGGACGTGAAAGCTGGGGACAGAAGGAGGAGTTGTGTCTGCTTAGGAGTAGCAGAGCTGTTTCTGAAGGTTCAACCTGCGGTGTAGAAACAGTGCAGCCAGAGCCACAGCCAGCTTCTCAGGATGTTTGTCTTCCATGGTTGCTGAAGACTGGAGCGTGATTGCTTTCTCCATCCCGTGTGAGTGCGAACTGGGGCCTATTTGTAAGGCGAGATTGTTTGGTCTCACACCAGGATGGAATGGAGAAAGGAAACTCACAATGTGCTCTCATATATGTGTTGTATTGATGTACAATGCAGCTTGAGGTTGGAAGGCAGCATGGTTACAAGCGTGATGCAGAGAGAGCTGGCTGGTGAGATGCCCAGGCGACAGCCAGTCGCCATGCCTGCCAGCGGAGAGAGAGGACTGCCAGGCAGGCGGAGTGAGGTGTTACGGTTGGCTGGCATGGTAGGCAGAAAAGAGTTGTATTACAGATCACGAGGCCAGGCCCAAATAGCAGGGGTAGGCGTGGCTTAGCAGCGACCCCCTGCTCCGGTGGTGCATGGTGCTGGCTGACTCCCAGACCACTTGAGGCACACACTGTGAATTGGTGGCCCATTAGGTGAAAGCGACAAACAGTGCTGCAGGGGGAGGTTCCACAGAGCCCCCCTTCCCTCCGTTGCTGTGTAGGAGACTTGTTGTCTGCAGGCTGCATAGCACATGTGAGGCAGAACAGGCGGTGCGCGTGCCTCATGTGAGACAACGGCGATGGCGTGATGAGCCATTGCTGGGGGACAACTGTCTAGGATACACAATATCTAGAGTTATAGAGAGGGAGAATAAGGGTGTGTGGGATAAGGATAGCTGCAGCCTCTGGCAGGTACCGAGTCGCCAGATGCGCCCTGCCAGTGTGTGGCTGTCAGGAGCAGGCCAGCACGGATTAGTGCATGCAGCTGGGTCCACAACAGCAGGTGCAGGATATTAAAGGTGAGTACCTGAGGGAGAAAAGAGGTGTGTGGGTCCGCACTCAGGAACAGAGGCCGCATCAGGGGCAGGGAAGCGATCTGTTGCCGGGGTCGGCGTCTGAGGCAGGACGGTGTGTTGCTGGAAGAGGAGCGACTGTCTGCTTAGAGTAGCAGAGCTGCTCTAGGGTGTCTGACTCCATGTGTGGTGGAGACATAGCTGTAGAGTCGACAAAAAGTGAGCTGCTTGAGTATACAGTCTCCAGCGTTGCTTTCTGAAGACTGGAGCGATCATTTCTCCTCCATCCTCTGTGAGTGCGAATCGGGGGTCACCATTTGTGTATGAGATTGTTTGTCTACACTCAGATGGAAATTTGAGAAAGGAAACTCACAATGTGCTCTTTGTTGATGCCAATGCAGCTGGTGCTGGGAAGGCATACAGAGAGCTGGTTGTGAGGACGTCAGAGGAAGGGCAGGGTCACAGCGCAAGTCAGCTAGCGGGAGAGAGAGAGAGGACCGCCAGGCAGGCGGAGGAGGAGGAGGTGTTGCTGGCTGCGGCTGTAGGTAGAAAGAGCGACAGATCACCACGAGGTCAGGTCTTAAATAGCGGGGGTAGGCGTGGCTTAGCAGTTGACCCCCGCTCCGTGGTGTATGGCGGCGCTGGTTGACCTAGACCACGAGGCATACACTGGGGAATTGGTGGGGTCGGCTAGGCAGCGACAAACAGCGTTTGTAGGGGAGAATTCCACTACAATAATAATAATAATATCTATTATTATTATTATTACAACAATTAATACAAATAAAATAATCAAAATAATAACCATAAATAAATAGAAAATTGAAAAAATAAATCAAGAGTGAGAAATTATATACATTATATATGTTGTGTTGTCCAAGTAAGAGAAACAATGTAGACCCTGCAAGTGTGTGTAAATGAGGCAGAAAGTTAGTTCAGCAACCTGGGTCTTGGTCACATGTGGCAGCAGGGTCTACCACAACACATGCTGCCAATATCTTCCAGGCGGTAGTACCTCCCTGTCTGGTACCTGCCTACTACCTGTAACATTATATAACATTAATACATTGCGAATGTCTTTTTTTTATGTTCTAAAGTTAACCCTAAATAAAGTATATATTTTGGTATGGCAACTTTCCCCCCTGGTGATGGCGTCCACGTTGTGATCAGCTGACTCGAGGGTGACGTGGAGAGAACTTTAAAGGTATATATGATGCTAACTATTGACAGCTATTTATACATATTAAAATACATGACAGTCTTTGTGGTGCATATATAGCTGTAGTTATATCAGTAACGTGTAGTGACAATATAAAGCTTTTACTATATTGATACCATAGGCGTTTCACCCCCAACCATCACTCACTAAGGCACGTATATGTTACATTACCTGTATATTAAAGTAATGCATTGTAGTTAGAGATTGAGGTCAAGATTTACAAGTTGCCACCACCTAATTGGCGCTGGAAATTAATTTTTTTCTCTATCCCCATATATGACTCAATAATTCAGGTGTGTAGTGGATAGTTTGATGTGACCGGATAAATTCTTACTAACACTATTTTACTTAGCTGGTCACGGCAAAAATCCACTGCCATATAGTATTATCATCTTTTTGGTCATACAGCAAACATTTGGATTTTAAGTTCAGGTTTGGTTTGGTTAGGTTAGGTTTGGTTGAAATTATGGTTTTCCGATGTTTTTTTTTGTGTTTTGAGTGACTTCTAAATAGGTGCATGATCAAAACAATAATTTTACCTACTATATATCAAAAATCTCCTGCTGGTAAAAGTTATATAGTGATGAAGAGGATAAGATGTGGCACTGGCTGGCAGGTGTCAGTTATAAAATTTATTAGTTGTTTATTTTACCATAAATTGGTTGAGTTTATTGATTGTCACAACGTTAGAGTTGCTGATAAAGAAGAGAGGTTGCCTCTTCGTTTTAATTTTAGTAAAATTTGCTAGTTTATATATAAACTGACAAATTTGAAGGGATCTTTTAGCATTCGGTTAGCTTTAGGGTAGGTCAGGTTAGGTTAAATTAAAATTATAAATAACCAAGGTTTGTTTGGTTACCGAAGACAAGTTGTGTAAGGTCAGGTAAGGTTTTCAAATGTTTGTTGGTTATCAAAGAAGGTAAATGTTACTCTACGGCCAGCCATGGGAGGAGGAGGGTGTAGTGTGAGGGTGGTCTGAATCGCATTACCATGCTATATAACCCATGTCTGACTCCCCCTAAAAAATGCATTTCCCTTATAGAAGACAATATCTAAAGACAATAGAAGCAAAAATTATGGCAGAATAGTGATGTGTTGTTGCTGAAATCACGGACGTACTAAAGAGTTGCATTAACCATCATCTGACCTGACCTAACCTAACTTAACCTAACCTAACTTAACTTTAACCTAAGCTAACCTAATCTTACACTAACCTAACATACCTAACCTAACCTAACTTAGCATAACTTTAACACCTGCTGTGGGCAAACTTACATGTACTAGGATGGGGGGGAGGGGGGGGAGTGGTGAACCATGACATTGAGGACTTGGACTTGGTCACAATTTTTGTGATGCCATATGGCAGCAGGGTCTACCATTAGACAACACATTATGCTTCCAATATCTTCCCAGGCTGTAGTACCTCCTTGTTTGATAGCTGCCTACTACCTACAAGCAAAGTAGTTTCTGTAGTGCTACTAGGTTCAGTCTTAGCCTTTTCTAGCCAAGTTCATTTAACAAACTGAAACCATAGCCCCAACGCTTCATCCGTTTGTGTTTCTTATCAATTTGTTTTTTTTATTGCACTAGAACAAATTCCTCTGGTTGGATAACAGGGATCCCGCAGTCTGGCCAGTCTCTTGTAGAGGGAAGGATGTTGTGGTCTTTCAAAAACTGGAGGGTGAGATCATCTTTCCCCCTAAAATCACAAATCTGTAATGTTCATATAAGACCGGCGACACCCTTCACATGTCTAGGTGAAATTGAAACTGGCACAGCAGAATGCAGCAGAGTGTTTTGAAATACGTCAATATGATTGGCTGTTTATGTCCAGGATGTGGACCGCCGGTAAAGACAAAATAGTGTGTGCTTAGGCTCCTAATTATCTATCAAATGAAGTATTTGCCCATGAAATGATCATATCAGAACTCACTCATGAAAATAAAGTAAGAAAATAAACATCAAAACAAATAACACGTCAGCAGGTTTCTCGTTAATATTAACTGTTTTTGAATGTTGAATATCCTGCTAATTTAAAAAAAGTAATTCTCTTTTGTCAGAAATGATTTTTGAGCATAACCTAACCAATCGTGATATGATTAACCAGTATCTCTGCAAGTTTCTTTGACGTCACAAGCATGAAAATAAAGATCTATACAAGCAAAATTATTGTTTAATATTCTTGTTAAATATCTGCTTCATTTCTGAATTAACATGTTATAACCACATTACAGGGTTGGCCAGACTTGCTAAACCCAAGAGCCGATAAACTTCATATGTTTGAGAGCTGCAAGACATGAAGAAACTTTATAGTACACGTTTTTATTGTTACATACACATTTTATTAAAAAAATTATATGCAAATATTACTAAGAAATACATGTATGCAGTATTAGATACGAATGTACTGTATGTAGATTTTTAATCTCTTAAATTTAATTAGTTTCAATAATCGGAACGCTCACACATATACCAAATGTTATCAAATTCTTAAGTGATGTTTGTTTTAATGTTGTTGAGTAAGTTTAATACACAGTGAACTACGGAAACATCTCGGAAAAATATGCAACTCTGCATTTCAGTAACAAAATTTGATTGCTGAAATAAAACGTCAAAAAATCTATTAGTATTAGTAATGAAATTTATTTGCCTTCAAAAATTTTTGGTCAAAACTTGGAGGAAAATATGCAAAAGAAAAGCAAGTAAACCAATAAAATTATAGATATTTTAACCAGATACCACCTTACAAAGTTACAATATTGTCATAACATTACTTATTACGTAAAGAGATATTGCTACGATTATTAGGCTATTTACTAATAGTAGAAGTCTTGTGGGTCTCCAACTTGGCTGTGATTCTTGGAAAATCCGGCTGATGTGTTGTCACGGCTGTACGAATCAGCTCCGTCAGGTGTTGATTTGTGAGGATTGCACGAAGTTTTGACTTCACAAACTTCATTACAGAGTACAGTGATTCGCAGCAGTATGTTGTGCTGAAAATTGAGATGAGTCGCACACTAGTTTTCTTAAGAGTTCAGGATATTTTGTTTCGGGAACTTGCTTCCAGAACTCGACTGTAGATTGAGATTTGTGGATCATCTTTAGACCCAGGTCCTCCTGAAATTCCATTAGTTCCATTTCCACAGCAGATGATTCTGTAACCAGAGGTTCGAGAATCGGACGACCATCATTTATTACATCAACCATGAATGGATTTATAAAAAAGGCAAAGCAGGGTTTCAGTTTCTGCAAATCATTAAATCTGGCCAGGAAATTATCAAGCAGTCCTTGTAATTTATCTTTGTATTCTTCCAGTTTGTGGTCTTTCAATATCATGGAATGTATTTACTCTCCTTATGAGATGGGGGAAGTGGCTGAAGTTTCTTGACAGGACAGTATGTCTCTGAAAATATCTTATTTTTTCTGGAAGCTGAAAATTGTTTGAGTAAGATTAGAAACAGTCTTATCCTTCCCCTGGAGTGCCAGGTTGAGAGTTTGTAGATGTTTCATTATATCAGTAAGGAACATCAGATCTTGCATCCATTCATCATTTTCCAGTTGAGGATAAGATCTTTTCTTTTCTTCAAGAAAGTAGTGATAGGGTCCAATAGATCTATAAACCTATTCAAGATGTTGCTGGTTGACAGCCACCTCACAATGCAATAGAAAGAGACATCGTTGGGCTTTTCTTCATGTTCCAGTTCTTCTATAAATTTTTTGAACTGTCAGTGGGTCTTCCCATTTGAGTGGATGAAATTGACAATATCTCGGACAATTTTCAAAAAAATTTCGTACCTGAAGTATCTGGCTGCTAGGTGTTCGTGATGAATGATGCAGTGAACAGGGAGGCACTCTGGAAATTTGGGATCACATTTCTTGAGTGCAATTAGTCCTGCATATTTCCCCACCATTGCAGGTGCTCCATCCATTGCAACACTGATAAGTTTATCCAGTGGAACATCAGCATTTGTTAAGGCTCTGTCAAGCGCATTTTTAATATCAACACCACGAGTTGTTTCTTTTAGTGTCACTAAGTCTAACATCTCTTATTTCACAGTTACATCAGAGGAAACATAACGAACAAATGCTGCTAGTTGTGGGTTGTCTTCTATGTCTGTAAACTCATCAATAGCTAAGCTAAATGCCAGAGAATTCTTCAAAATCATTTTGCATCTTGCTTGCAACATCAGCACCTATCTGGGAGATACACGTCTCTGTAGTGTGGCGTGAAACTGGAGTTTGTGCTATTAGCCACTGAAGTTTTGTGTTATTTGGATCTAACCCTGCAAAACTTAAGCTATACCTGTATTCCTCTTAAATTCTCCATCAGAATATGGGCATTTAGCACGATCAATATTCCATGAAATAGCAAAACTAGCTTCAGTCGTTGTATCAGCTTCCTTACTGAGCGTTGTCAACAGTATTCGCTGGCTGTTTAGTGATGATTTTAACACAACTTGTTTTCCGTAATTCTGATTTAGGCGGATAATCACACGAAAAGCTTTTGTGATTTGCTTCGCAGTGGCGTTTCAAGTTACTGGCTTTGTAGTGAGTGAGTGACATTGCAGATAAGCACAAAGGTTTGTCTCTTTTATCCGTGAATGCAAAGGCTTCCTCCCACTCTGGCTTAAAATTTCTGTTTTCATCTTCATACTTTCGCTTCTTACAATATGATGAGGCCATTTTCCTCCACCGAATTTTTATATAGTGCTTTCAAATATATTTAACAGTACAGGTATTTAAAAACAACTTATTCTTGTGAACTGTAGACACAATTTATGTCCCGAGTGTACCAACTAGATCTGCACAGTTCAAAGTCGTGTGTTACACTGCGTTAATGTACATACAGTGTATCGTGACGTGAGGCCGGGCCCTGACCTGCCAAGCCCATCCCCCTGGCCCCTCCCATCCCTCTGCCCCTCCCTCTGACATTCCTCTGTAATCCCTCTGCTGACCTTAAATTTACTGACCTGAGATTTGCTGATCTGAAACTTCTTTAATCCCTCCCCTCAGCACTGATGAATGACACCTGACCCTGATCTATCATTAAAATTAAAATTTAATTCTTAAATATTTGTACTCACCTTGCATATTTAACTTACGTTTTAATCCAGTGGAGTCTCAGTTTACAAATATAAAGCTCAAACATTTTTCTTATTTACCGGTACCTTTTATATTAATTATGACGCAAAAAGGGAGTTGAGACAATATATTTTTGCGAGCTGCACATTGACTGTCAAAGAGCCACATGCAGCTTGCAAGCCGTTGTTTGGCCACCCGTTATATTAGGTAGTAGGAAGCTATCAAACAGGAAGGTACTACCATGTGGCATCACAAAATTGTGACCAAGTCCCAGGTTGCTGATCTGACTTTCTGCCTCATTTACACGCAATTGCAGGGTCTCAATTGTTTCTCTTTGACAACAAAACATACTGTATACAGTATATCGTTTAGTGATGTCATGGTTGTCAGATTTCAAAGCTCCGCAGTTGTGGTTGTTAGGAAGTCACAACTGCTCAGGTGTGGTTGTTTGGTTTAACTTTAAACTTGGATTAATGCTGTAACCTGTGTGAACTTGTCAACTTATCTTCCTATGATTTTTCCCTGTAAAAAGTCATAATTTTGAGCAACATATTACTCTACTTTAGTGTACTCAAATGTACTAAGCTAAAGGACTAAAAAAATTTATCTTTAATGTAAACTTTGAGATGTTTATACTCAAATTGTTATCTTGCAAAGATTCCAACAATGCACATTATATTCTGTTTAGTCAAGTCTGTGACATTTTATAAGAGAAAAACTTTAAGCCTAAGCCAAATTCATCCTGAAAAATCCAGATCACTGCCTTCCCTCCTGGCTGGTAGGAAAGGGGAGGGGGAGGTGGGGTGCTCACAGGCAGCAAGGGGAGATTCAGTGGAGGGGGAGGGGTGGTGTAGGTCATGGACTCAGGATTATACAAGACAGGGAATATAACATGCATTGCTGGAATTCCTGCAAGATATTGATTAATTTGAGTAGAAAACATCCCATAGTTTGCACTAGACATACATTAAAATACAGTAAAGCCTCGAATAATGATGGTAATGTGTCCTCCAATATTGCAGTGTAAGATGAATCATCATATCATGAATCATTAATTACCATTAAAATAAAGCAATAAGAATGAGATGTGTTCCAAAGTCTGACCTTTTCATATCTTTTGTGTGGCGTTTTACCCTCTTTTCCCTCAAAACAATAAAATTAATGATAAATGCAAACTATATTCTTTAAATAATGTTTATGAATGCACCTTATACAAAAGATATGAAAGGGTCAGACTTTGGAACACCTCTCATTATTATTGCTTTATTTTAATGGTAATTAATGATTCACGATACGATGATTCACCTTACACTGCAATATTGGAGGACACTTTACCATTGAACTTCTGTACATCTGGAGTGGGAGGTCTTTTGTGCCCCTTCCCTACATTTATTTTACCTTTGTTGTGCATTCTTATAATTGATTGTTGTCATCACATATAGTGCAATACTATATTTAACTTCATTGCTCAACTTCTCTCCGGACATGATTTGAATAATGTCATATAAACTTGTTATTTGATGAACTATTTGCTTCTTTTCTATAGATTGCTAATAAAGAAGAAAAAGTGTCAAGATGTTCATCTCTGTCCTGACCCTGGTTACTATTGATTATAAAACTATGCTTTTCAAGTTATGTACTGTTTATACAGGTATAGCATAATGAAAATAATGTTTTCAGACAGCTGTTGAATCTGTGGTTTTATATGTGCCTCATAATTTTTACAAAGAAAAATAGTTCACAATGCAACAGCCACCAGCCTTTCTAGACAATGGTCTCATTCCTAGAATAAATTTTTAATTTCACTGCCTTTCCATGAATCTTTCTAATTTTCAGGTTGAGCACAATGGATTCTTTTGAAGAGTACATCAATCTTCATTGGACTACCATAGTTGTCACATGTTCATCTCCCAGCATAAGAGAAGGAGTGGAAGAAGGTAATGTGTGTGTGAAATATATACAGTACAGTACAGGTATACCAATACAGTACAGTACTTAACATTCACTACAAGATTTATGGTGGTATGTATGGGCATATGATTACTCTTGGCATTTTACTACACTGGACACTTAAAGTCAACTTTTTGCTGCTGTCTATATGAGGGCATCAAGATTATCTCTTGTATCATGCAAGTGAGACCTGCTTATGTGAACTGTACACTCACCAAAAAAAGTCAGTCCTCTCTCCCATCCATGAATTCTGTGAATCATGAACCTGTCTATCCAAGGCATCACACATTGTTGAGCCTATAGATGTGCACTGTGTCATATGTCTTGGATTCACAGGGTTGATGGATGGGAGAGAGGACTGACAGGACTTTTTTTGGTGGAAGTACATTGATTATTAGTCTTCCTTGAAATATTGTACAGTAATAGAATATTGGTAATCTCCAGTGCCAGTAAAATCAATAATAATTTTCAGAGTGTAAACGATTATCTAGTGGTGGTTTATTGCCTCAACATGATTTTCTCCTGGTGTTGGATGATCCACGGCCTGAAATCAGACCATCAAAACATGATTCAGAACTTCAGTCAACTCCAGGGGTGGGGAGTGGAGGGGCAACAATTAATGCCCTCCTTGTGGCGATAGAGAGGCTCTCTGCCCAACACCATCACACCACAGTGAGTTTAGTATAGTGCATAGAACATTAGACAACTTTTCAATTCATAGTTATAGAGGATTAGTCATAAAATCCCTCTTTCTTGCTAGAGCCCATTGCCAGGTAACTTAATGCAAGCCACTTATTGGGGTGTCTGTCCTTGGGCGACCCTCTCTTTATGTTATTTAGGATTGATTTATTAACTTATATAAGTAACCCAATCTTCTTACCATCATCACAGGGAGACTGCAACAGCTGCCCATGGATGCTAGGAAATCTTCTTAGAGCCATGTCTGCTCAATCATTATGTCAACATTCCAGGGGTGAAGGGGATACTTAGTCAACATAAGGGGATCACATTTTGAAAAACATGAATTTAAAAACAGAAAATTGCTACATTTGGCAGTACAGTCATTAGCAGTAATATCTACCCGCCTCCCCCCAGAACCCGGAGCCACAGCCAGTGAAGGCCAATATTGACACAGTGCATCATCACCAGCCATGATAGTTCCACAACTTCCCAGTAACGTTTGGAGGGGGGAGGGAAAAGGGTTTGTTCGATCATCCAACCTTTACTTACTGTGGCTCTGGTTACTGGGTGGGGGTAGCAATTACTGCTTCTGTCTGTACATGTATTCCCAATTTACTTTTATCCTCTTCTCCACTGATTGGCTTGTTCTGTTTTTGAAAACTTTATGTAAACATATTTTTGTAACTCAAAGCACATTTTCTCATAAGACTCTCTTTGTAAAAGCTGAGATATGTTCCAATGAAAAAATTCCTTTAAACATCTTAAAATGTCAAAACAATTTCATAATGCACTGTTTTAAATACGTACATAATAATTATAAACCAATAATAAACACTTTCTCTTACAACTCTTCACTTTTCAGACATTTTAAATTTTAAATGTAAGGTGAGCTTTTACCCTGATACCTATTTTCCTTTCCACTTTAACTTATATTATTCCATACCTTAAGATATACAGTACATTATATAATATTACAGGGGGTCCCCGGGTTACGAACTGTTTCTGTTCTGAGGACTTTAGTAAGACGGATTTGTACGTAAGTCGGAACACATGATATGTGCATACTGTACTTAAAAAACAATGTTTAAAATCACACTACAGTATATCATACCCTAAGTCCTTATACAGTATACATCTAAAATCACTTAATTTAAGGGTGCGTCTTCACTTTAGCATTTTAGCACTAATGAACCAAACGAGTAGACAGCCCACGAATGAACCGAACGAGCAGTTCGAGTGCAAGCTCTCTGTATTCTGCGTGTTCGGCGGTGCTCGCCTTATTCCCACCATTTTCCTCAGTTGAACCATGGGTCTCACAGTGGCAGCAGGTGTATTCTTCATTATCTACTCCTTAGCCAAAAGGAAGAAGAAATCTAGGAGTGTGTGGTTAAGGTGACTATTTTCTGGACGGAAAATATGTCCCTGTTGAGTGAAATGGATCATGGCCATTTGAAAAACTTTACTCGAATGACACCAGAGGATTTGAAACATTAAGTAACCTTGTAGGACCAAGAATTATAAAGAAGGATACAACATTCCGAAGAGCTATACCGGTCAATGATCGTTTGGCTGTAACTCTAGTCTTTCTGGCCACAGGGGACTCCTATACTGTACCAGCCTGAAGTATTTATTCAAGATATTCAAGCAACCCGCAAGTGTGATAATCGTAGAAACATGCAACATAAGTAGTATAAAAACATTAATGTTGTAATAATAAGGACCTTATTAGCATATTAATATGTTTGTATTATACTGAATTTTTTTTATGTATCATTTATCCATCATATACAGTACAAATATTTTTACATTTCACAGTTAATCAGTAAAATAGTTTACCTTTGCCAGTCCCGACGGTCTTCTTTCCCTTTATCCTCCTGAAGCTGGCAAGCAAGCTTCCCATTTTGTTCTTCCCTTCTCCCGGGGAACATTCCATAATTAGTGCAATGCTCACCCAGCAATCATGCTTCATAACTTTATCATAGTACAAGCCATGTTGGGGATTCCACAGCTCTGGATGCTAATAAGGTTAAACATTTCTCCCTGTCCCACTCCATAACACACCGAATAGCTGGAACAGCGCGAACACCCATCCTGACTGTACAAAAATGAGCAGTTGAATCCTTTTGAGCACGTACCATCTACCGACGAGCGATGGAAAACGTTTGGCGCGCTCGGTTCAGCTCGGAGACACATTCTTACTAGCTGAGTTCTGCTCGTTTGGTTTGTTCGGGCTAAAATGCTCAAGTGAAGACGCACCCTAACACAAAAGAAGAAATAGAATGACAAAATACAGTAAATGAAAGTCAAAAATAAGTCATCAGGTAAATAAAGTTTTGTCAATTTCAAGTTTAACCCCGTTCGTATCGGTGGGCGTTCGTAAGTCAGGCGTTCGCAAGTTGGGGACCTCCTGTATATCTTAAAGCACCCCCAAACCTAACATCTTTTGTGAATTACTGATAAAATATTCAAACCCTGTTTTGCACTCTCACTTTAACCCCTTGGGGGGGGGGGGGGTTGTGCAAATTAAGGATATTCCTTCTCCATTTTTAACTTAATTTACCCCACAAAAGGGGGAGTGCAGTAAAAGTAACATAGATAAACAGAATGTTATTTTCTGCCCACCATACTATAAATAATAGTAATATCTCCGTTCGCCGGAATCCTTCAAACCTGGAACTCTCTGATAGCCGGAATTTAAATTTTCTTGGAAAATCTTTCCCAAAGCCGGAATATTATGGAAATTTCTGGCTTTGGGAATGATTTTTCCAAAGGGCTCATTTTCTGGAAAATTCTGAGAAAATTTTTACAGTACAGTATTACCTCGCCTAACGTGGTTTCACTTAGCGCGCTTTACCGTATACGCGGTGCCTCGCCAGAGCTGAACTTTCACTTAACACAGTTTTTTCCACGTATACGCGGTGAGTGTCCGGCTGGAGACGCTATTTTTAGATTTGGCCCACCCGCCACCGCCACCCTGCCTGACTGCCTGTTTTAGCTCATAAAATTCATACAAATTACCCGGCCAGAATATAATTTACATTGCTGGAATTCTTACAATTTGGTGATCATTTTGAATATAAACATCATATATTTTGCATTAGACATACAAATTTTAGATAAAATGTTTACTCTGAGTAAATATGTTATTTTTTGTGCAAAATATATGACATTTGTATTCAAAATATTCCTGTCTTTCCAGCAATGTCAATTATATTATCCTAACTTTAGTTTGAGGTATTATTTATTCATAAAATTCCATACAAATTACCCGGTCAGAATATACAAATTATTTACATTGCTGGAATTCTTATAATTTGATGATCATTTTGAATATAAACATCATAGATTTTGCATTAGACATACAAATTTTAGATAAAATGTTTACTCTGAGTAAATATGTTATCTTTTGTGCAAAATATATGACATTTATATTCAAAATATTCCTGGTCTTACAAGGAATCCAGCAATGTCAATTGTATTATCCTAACTTTAGTTTGAGGTATTATTTATTAAAATTTAGTGGTTTTCCCCAAAAATTTCTCAGAGAGGGAAGAGCCAGCAGTGTAGTGTGAGAAGAGGGGAGGGAGTTGAGTCCATTATTTGAATGGACATTATCTTGGCGACTGTATTTCTCTATTTCTCTTAAGTATTAATTGTGTGCATGTACCATCATAAAATTAAGATGTTATTTTTACTACAACATAGTTATGTGTCGTCAAAAAGTGGAGTTTGGGGGTCGGGCCGGTTTCTATTGGAATTAATCCCATATGTTCTGTTGTTCACTTAACACGGTACCCTCTGGGTTTTATTGACCGCGTTAAGTGGGGTACAACTGTACTCAGAAAATTCCGGGGTTTGGGGAGGTTTTTGGGGGTTCGAGAGATGAAAATCAGGCGCGTTTTCCGGAAATTTCGAGAAAAATATTCCGGTACCTGAGAAATTCCAGGGATGGGGAATATTTTTCCAGGTTCGAGAGACGATGTAATGCGTAATTTCTGTAACTTTCAAGAACATGTTCCGTTACCAGGAAAATTCCGGGGATGAGGGATTTTTTCCAGATTTCAGAGAGTCTGTCTCATTACCAGGAAATCTCTCATTCCCGGAAGTGCTCTGCACCAATTGTTCCGGCTAACGGAGATATCACTTTATTTCGCATTGTGACATCATTCCCAAAAGTTTGATATGATCTCGATGGTTTTGTGCAGATCAACAGCGAACTTGTTCACAGTAGCCGCATTCTTGTGGTTCATTATGGTCGTCTCTTGCTGCATTCTCCAGGAGGCACAGCATTCCTACGACTCTCACCAAAACAAACGTTTGTGCCCCCAAGTGCCAGAACAACGCCACCTACTCTCTTACAACATGCCATTTGGATGACAACTAAAGTAAGTTCCAGTATGGTTAACTCTGTTTTTTATATCATACATGCCCCAAGTGTCCTTAAACTCTTTCAAAATGACAACTCCAGGTCAGTTTCTAATGAATTTCTTACCTTGGTGTATTTTTAAGATGAGTGCAAAGAGCAAAACTGGAGTGTGGGTGACATCATTAGATGCTTTCCTTCCTTACTCCCTGGAGTTACACCCTCCCGATACTGATGGCATTGATGGTGCTATAGTGTGTACTGTGGCAGCCCCCTTAGAGCATGCTGTGCACCATGGTGTTGTTGTTGCTGAGAAAGGTCAAGACATTAGTAAAATGGAATACAGATTGCCACTAGAAGAACTGAGTGAGTAATTCTTTCATCCTCTAATAAGTTTGCTTGAGAAGTTTATCCTGCATTATATCAGAGAGACTCAGTTCTCATAGTTAGTGTGAGAGGATGGTTGGTAAGATGGTAGTTATTATTGTGGTTGTGGAACTGGATGTTTTGTTCTTGAAGGTGGTTGTTTTTGGATTTAACCAATCCAAGATTTTTTTTTTTTTTCTTAAGAGATTTTATTGTGCCTTCAAGTAAAGGATTTTATTGTGCCTTAAAGTAATGGATTTTATTTTGCCTTAAAGTAATGGAGGAATGAGGAAAAGCTGTTTTCCAGTGTCCATTGGACTAGTCTGCAAATTTATTTATCAGTGTTGATGATTGTGCTTGACTGTGATTTTGGGGTTTTCATCCATCTAACAGAACTGAAATAAAAGGTCAAGGAGATCTAGAATTCCACAACCCCCCCATATTAAGCCAAGGAAGTTTAGCTCCTTTGTTTTTCCATCAGCTTGAGGAAAAGTTCATTCATAAAAGAAATACTGCCTTTTTTATAGACAGTACGTTAGTGGTTGCCAGTATTAATAAACAGTTTTCCTGCTTGTTACCTTAAAGAAAGTACAGTACTGTGCAGTACAATATTTAAAAGTGAGGCTAAGAGCAGAAACATTATATCCAGTGCTGTTAGAGGTGCATTTTGTATTTGCAACCCTGAGATTTTTATGTGCTGTTTTGGATTTCTGGCTTTTTGGTCACCCAGAGTCATTTATGTTTGCTGAGAATATTTAAGGGGATAGGGATACCTGTACTGGTCATATACTTGGGGCATTGGTGGTCCCCATATGCATGGCCTAAACTTTTTAGGACCATTAAAAATTCTTAATTTCTTGGCTTTTATTTACACCAGGCCTTGTGTCTGCAGCTGACTGTTACCAATGTTGCAGGTATTTCATGGTTACCTCTTCATGATTGGGGGAGGATGAATAGCCATTAAGCCTACTGCATGGGAATTTGTTCAAGGTGTAGAAGCTGCTGCAGACTTGAGAACTGTAAAGCTTGGTATAAAAAAGTAACCCAGGAAGATTTGACATTATGCTAACCACACTTGCAAACCACAACCCAAGGAAATTATCTGCCACTTCATATACATCCAGGGCCCCAATCACTGTTGAGCAGTTTAAAGCAAGAGAGCAAATTTTTTCCAAAGATCCACACTGTCTAGGAATCAAACTAAGACTCTCACACTATTGAGACAAATACAATACAGTATAACTGAACTTTATACCATTGATATACCACGTTTTGAACTGTGGTTATGGTCCACGTGTTCAGAGATATTGTCCTTCACCTTATATCTCTTGATTTTTGTAACCTAGGTAGTATATCTTATTAGTCACAAAAATGAATTATTTTATTATTTTTCAGGAAAGGTTTTTCCAGGAGGTGTCAGTGCAGTGATCTCTGGAATAGTGTTCCTAAGTGCCTCATTGACAGAACAATTACTTGGCCTTCACACAGTGCCACCCCTAGACTGCTGTACTTATTATGGCACTGACAGTGGAGTGTCACCTCTACAGGTATATATCTCTTTAAACTGTGGACAAATTAGTACTGTACAGTACTTATAGCAATAAAATAATAATATTTGTATTATTGAAGGTAATAATAATAAGAATGAATTAATGCAGCCGTTCACAATGAATGTAAAGGACAAATTAATTTAGCATGTGTCTTTATGGTTGCTTGGAGAAGCTTGCAAACAATGTCATTTCTAAATTGTATTTGGTGGTAAGAGTTATTGTACTGTATTACAAAGCTTAGAAAAATAGTATCAAATATATTTGTATCTATTACAGTTGTCATTATACTTCGACCTCCTGCTGCCACTTTGTTCTGCAGTTCACTATGAGGAATACATCTCTGGCCAGTGTGGAACTATCTATGCTCAGGCAGCAAGTTACAATACCCTCACCCAACAGGAGTCTCGTTCAGCCAGGTAACATCATGTGAAAATATCTTTTGTATAAAATTTCAAAGGCAATTTTTGCTTGTATGGCATAAATATTTTCTCTAAAAATAAATGCTTTGTGAGTGACATAATCCGTATAGATTATTTGAAGTGATTACTAATCAGTACTGTACACAGGTTTGTTGAGTAATGCAGAACATGAGAGTAGATATACCTACTTTCCCTGAAGTATTTTGCTGTGTCACTACTAGACGAGAGTTTATAATAGTTTTGGCAAGCAGCTTGGTTACATGAGGCAGGTTACCATCAGTCAGCCTTATAGCAAACAAAGTAGAGCGAGTGGTTTTGATTTACCTACCCTAATCTGACTTGACATGACCTAACAAAGCTTGATGTAATCCAACTTGGCCTTTGTCCTCACATTTGTCAGGAAATATTATGATCTAACAATCATATGTACCAATAACTTTTAGAGCATTGTAGAAGAGACCTTTCCCTTTAATGAGAGAAAACACAACCAGACAAATGGTAACTTTTGTACTCAAGTTACATAAAAGAAAAAATACAGTAGCTAATGTACTGTAAATTGATATTGTTTATTTCAGACTCCAGATTTGGAAGCAGTTACAAGGACATAAGATTACTTTTCACCCTCTTCAAGGTGTGCAGCATCACTATATGGGTGCTAACTTATCATTTCAAGACTCACTGATACCATTATTACCTTCATCCAGCATCTTGCTTCATGACACATTTATTGGACACGATATGAATGAGCATGTTGTGATAGTGAACTCGGTCATAGAAGGAAGTGTAAAGTCCTTGCAAGAAAAACTCTATATCATAGATTCTGCAATTGGTAAAAATGTTTCCATAACCTCAGTAGGGCCTGGTGTTCTCTCAGGGCTCCAGTTACAGGAAAGTAATATAACTGTGGAATTACCAGGTGGGCAAGTTTGGCAGATGTATCCTGGGGAGAACTATGATGTAGTCACCTGTCATGGGTTTAGTGATGATTTATCTAAGTTACAACATGATACTAAAGCAACAGTGTTCAACACTCTTTGGTCTGTTTTCTATGCCAGAACTGGATTAGAAAAGAAAGATTTGTGGCCACACACTAACAGCAAATATCAAACTGTTATTACGGCCAAATTCTTTGTTATGGATCGTCCTGTTGTGGAACAAATAAGGATGATGATAACCCTGGTGGGGGCAGTTAGTAATGATCAGAGACAACAGGAATGGATGTTAGATATTCAGGAATGGAAAACATGCACACGAGTCTCACTTTTAGATGTTGCAACTAAATGTGACTTGAAGAAACTAGTAAGACAGCGGGAAGATATATACCTGGAAACTGTTAAACGACTCATCAGTGACACCGCGGATGAAGTGGGTGGGAAGTCTCTCCTTCCCTATTTCAGTTACCTTGCAACAAGTAAGTAATTCTTATACAGTGTACCAATAAGTATAATTTTTATTCCTTTTTGGTTGCAAATGCTATATAATTTGATTCTTCAAGACACAGGAGTAATACTGATTACAGAACAGTCAGCCCTCACTTCACACAATGGTTACATTCTAGAAACATACTGTGCAAATATAAACCATGTACAGTACAAGTACAAAAATACTAAGAGCTTATGGGAAAGAGGGGGTTAGGTTTCAGACTCAAAAGTTAATATACTGTACAGTCCCAGTCAAAAGTCCTGTGCCGGGCAATTTTGCCTAACCTGGTTATGTGGCAACGTCGGAGACACACACGGTGGAACTACCGGGCCCTTAGTTCATGCATCGCTTTGTGGTTTTAAGGGTGCGTTTCATGCCTAGTTTGCCATGTTGCCAGCATTGTCAGGAACAAACTGATGAATACCATTAATAATTATTTCAACCTAAATTGAATGACAAGAACCAATGTATTTGCAAGCACAGACAAAATGCTTCCCAACACATACTCTGCACTACACCGTCTTCTAGACTCTTCGATCATGTGAACAATGCATTCTATGGCGTATCTATGTGCACTTATTTGAAGTACACCGTATTGATGATATGAGTTGTCTTATGTGAATGTCAGGAGGACAGGTATAAAAAATGCTGCATTAAGAGATACTTAATTTTTAAGTCATAGTGGGGAGGGTTCCTGATAGGAGAGAGGGCTGTTGGTGGTTCCAGACAGCAGTGTGGTGGGAGCAAAGTGCTCAAGTCAATTTTTCTCTCATTCTTACTTATCATAAGTGTCACATTTCATTGGGAAGCTTTTAGTACATTCAAGTGCCACATTTGAGATATTATCTTTATATATTACAGGGTTCTAAGGAAATTTGAAAGAGAACAGAAAACACGATGTGGACACCCCACTGACTGACACTCACTCACTCACTCTTACTTCCTCACTTACTTTAAGCATTACATTGTTTGGGAGTGTGCTTTACGTTCCAATTTGTAAAATTGGATTCGTTGCCTAACTGTCCTAGCCAAGACCTCAAAGTGCAGCCGCTCCATCATGGCTGCATTGGTGAAAGGATGGTCATGAATGTCTGCCACAATCCTAATGTCGTCTGTTGCTCTGGTCAGTCTATGCTGTCCTGATCTGGGAAAATCTGTCAAATTATCAGACTTTAAACCACTTTAACCAACACTGCACTTTTGATCTCGAGACTTACATCTGCTTTGTGATCTCGTTGGTACTTAACCTGCTGGGAGATATCGTGGTGTTGGTCACCCATGGTTGTAGTTGGTGGAATGACCGAGTGGTTGCTGTATGATCACGTCATCATCTCGGATAAGTTAAAGGTTGTGTGAATGGCATGAACCGTCCCTAGAATCGTTATTTCTATTATCACAATAAAATATCATGTGCAATATTATGGGACTGGCATCATTGATACCCTCAATAAGAGCAACAGGAGAGGGATAATAAACCCACCACCACTCCCTTTCGGCGACCGACTCCATTATGAACCTCTCTACACCGAATGTAGTGCTATACAGAATTGTAATCCAGGAGTAATGAAATCATGGGATGTTTTAAGTCCTGGGGTTATGAAGTATAGGTACAGTAGTGTAGGTAAGAAATGGTGATGTGAAATAAGAAATTCCCAGAATAGTATATAGGTATGCCACTGAATATTAATGTCATGCATGGCAGTTTGTACATACATTGTAAGCTGCAATTGTTGTTTTTATTGCCAATACAGCATTTCTCTTTTCACACTTAATTTTTTGTACATGCACTCTATGTGTAATGTTCATTTCATTGCTCATGGAGTAGCTAAATGATTCATTAATTGTAAGGTGCATATAAGGGCATATGCCAGTTCATCATCATCATTTTACAGCCATTTTTTTCAATAATTTTATCATTGAGGTTTGTATTCCAAAGTTAACTTTAAGAAAGCTTGAAATATAATCTTGATAAAAGAGTGTAAAGTACAGTATCACATTTGATTATAGGAGGACAAGAATCAGTTGAGGCAATTCTTCATGAGTTGCATAAGCAGCTACAACGACCTCGTACTTCCACCCCTCGTTTGTTGGCAAATGCAGCTGACCTACTCGGCTGTATGGCAGCAGGGAGAGGTGGGCTGAGAAGTGGACCTGCAGCCAATCCTCAGTGGAGAAATGCATTGGTGGAGCTTAAAGTATGTTATGCAGTATTACCTCATAATATTCTAATTCTTTGTCATTCTAAATAAGCTGTAGCATTACCAATTGCATTTTGGTTTTTATCATGAAAGATACATCAGGGACACCATGGTGGCAGTTGTTTGTGTATATTTGTGTTGTTCAGTGTTTGAGTTGTTTTCTCATCCCAAGCTTAGTGAGTAGGGAAGTGATCACCACAGGTACATGTTATGTGTGTTGTTTGTTATGCATGGGCAGGGAGTATAAAGTCATTTATTTTGCACATGGTTAATTGTGTCACCTGTTTTTAAACATGACAGTACGTTTTTCTGCCGCTCTCAAGCCTAAAGACCAAACTAGCTTCTAGTCAGTGGTGGGCACAGCTAAATGAAAAGTTAGCTTTGCTAACCGCTAATCTACTAACTAAAAAGTTAACTTCGCTAACTCTAAACAGCTAAAAAAATTAGCGGAAGCTAACGCTAACCGCTAACTTTTATTATATGAATTTAGCTTTGTTTTTTTTTGGGGGGGGAGGGGGGGCTCTAAAACCCTTAAAAACAGACGTAGAGAGCTGAAATTTTCAAATGTTGTCTTGTAGCTTAGACATAGAGCTTTCCAAAAAGGTATAGCATGCCAAGATCAGATGATGATCAAGGTGTACACAAATAATTAAATGAACAATTGAAATTAAACATTAGTTTACATTCAAGTTTCAACATACACTTTATAATCTTTATTTACTGTACAAAAAGACAGAAAGTATTAAACGAATCCAAAAACTATAGTACTGTATAGCATAGGTAGCAAATAGCATCATGCCAAGATCAGATGATGATCAACTTATCAAGGTGTACACTGTACACAATTTCACAAATAATTAATTTGCATTCTCATACAACCTATCGGCCTTATTCATTATTCATGTAAATTTGCAATACCAACCACAGATACATTATACCAGTGCATTTTTATACGTCATGTAAATAAACAGAAAACTAAACTTTAATGAAAAGTAAGTTTTTAGAAAATTTTGTTTGGTGCACACCTTGGATGACATCCTGGTTATGAACTTGTGCAGTACTTAGCATAACCAAATATATTGACACAAAAAAAATCCTAATTAAATTAACAAATAAATGAGAAATGAAATTATACATTAGTTTACAATTACATTCTATGATTCTTTCAACATACACTGACAGTCTTCACCTTCCATAACAATAAGCGATAACGTACGCTGCTGTCGCTGACACTGTCAGACTGCTTAGACTGTCTGTAACGTGACAACGTCGTAAGTGAACTGAACTCAGAACTGCGGAATTACACAATGCTGCTCAGCTGCTGCAGCGCGGCGTCGACAAATCATGTCTTGTCACATTTACACATACTAACACGCAGTCTGCCAAGCGTGCCTGACTGGCTGTTGGAGACACGCGTTGCGGCGTCACATGCTTACAACAGACAAGAACAAACATGTATAAATTTGTTAGCAGACTTAAAGTTAGCGGAACTAAATTTAGCGGAAGCTAATTGGTCCGCTAATGGTTTACGAAGTTAGCGAAAACGCTAATCCGCTAAGGAGAAAGTTAGCTTCTCTAATTAGCGGTTTAGCGGAACCGTGCCCACCACTGCTTCTAGTATTTTTAAATACACATAAAACAACTCATTTGCCTGGAGATACAGCCAATTTGCCCAGACTGATCGACAAAATTAAGTCCATATTGCTATTATAGTACAGTATACTGTAAATATAGAATATACAGGTTGCCCAAGTTTATACCAGCTTCACAAGAAAATGTTTTGTACATAGATATTTTACCTGCCATTATCATCTCCTGCATGTATGTTTGGAGAAAAAATATTTGTACATACTGTATATTGAATCAATGATTATATTTGTTCCGAACAAACCTACTGAATATTAAAATATTATACAGTAGGACCTCAATAAATCGGATTAATTGGGGCAGACTCCAGTCTGAAAGATGTGGAAGTCCAAAAAATACGAATGTATGGGGGGGGGGGGGAATAACACTTCTTATCTGAACTGTTTAAAGGAAATCAGTTGATATGTTATTACTGCACTTAATGATGATAATACTAATAATAATTAACGGTTTATTAAGAAAACATGGCAGCCCGAAGGCGGAAATATACAATGAACAGAGATGATAAGTTACAAATGGTGAAATCGGGGAGTGGGTCACTTGATTGACAAAAGCTTTCAATACAGAAACATAAGAAACATAAGAAACATACAGTGGGGTATGCTATAACGAATCTAATTGGTTCTAGAACCTTGTTCGTTATAGCATTCATTCGTTATAGGATTAATACGTTCCAGGCCCCCCAAATACAACCACTTAACACTGAAAAATATAATATAAAATTGTAAAAATTGTAAAAAAGTGCATAAATATGCATCTAAACCCCTGAAATAAAGAATATCGTTAATACTTGTAGTACAGAAACAATAAATTAGTAAAAAAGAAAAAAAAAAATTTTAATGTTCGTTGTAGGAGTTTCGTTCGTTATAGCATTCTCAATTTTATAGGTAAAACCGTTGGTTACAGGAATATTCGTAGTAGGATCCGTTCGTTATAGCATACCCCACTGTATTGATTAACTTTAGATCTGGTACTGTGGCACTTCAACAATTAAGGTCTTTAAGTGTATAACAAGGTTATTAAAAATTATTACACCAACAATAAAAAACTATGAAACAAAACACCTCTGGGTTGAAAATCAGACATATAAGTATGGTTGTCAACAACTGTTGTCACTGAGATGATTGTTATTTACTGTAAAGTTTTATAAATAAATAACCACAGAATTTGTCCTATAAATAAAGAGAAAACTGTATACTGTACAGTATTATAAAGATAAAAATAAGAACAAATAAGTGTAGGAATACTGTATATTGTATGTGGAAGACGAGTGTTTATCTGGGAGCAGCTGGTAAAGGGGAGGGGAGGGGGCCAACACAGGTGGGTACTCCCTCCCCCAATGTTCCTTAAACACTTCTTTATGCAATTTCACCATAATTCTCTTATACTGTAATTTAGGATCATTTGGTGTTAGGTTGATAAAGTATTTTTCTAAACGAATCAGCTTTCATGATAAAAGAATCCCACACTGAACTGAGTCATTTGTTTACAAAAAGCAAGCAGCTAATCAGCGTTGTCAAAGTGTTGTAGTTTCGTCTGCGATGTGGTAATTAAATCTGCAGAAATGAAACGGCACATTTCATTTGGAAATGTGGACGGATTACCGCATAGCTTAAGAAATGCATAATTTGATAAAAACAAAACAAAATAGCAATTAAAAAACACTTTGCCTATTTACTTACCCGGTGAACATACTGTACAGTATTATGAAATATATTTGGTTACCCCGGTATATAGATTTTTCATAACTAAATCATATAGAGCAGGGATGGCCAACCTCCGGCGCATGCGCCAAACGTGGCGCATTGGATGATTAGAAGTGGCGCATTGCATCCCTGTGATAATAATAAAGTAAGGCAGTAAGCCTACTCATTATTTTTAGCGATTTTATTATTTCGTGCACAGCATCAGACTGAAATAGAAGGAAAACTGAAGCTCAAGCTTGGGTCTGAGTTACGGAAAGAATATGTGACTAAGAAAAAGGAAGAATTCAGAAGACAAAATGTATTTGTTAAAAAAAGTTGTGAAAGTTTGTCGATGACAGAAGCGTCCTATGAAATTGCTTTAGCGTTTGCGAAAAAAAGGAAGTCTTTCTCTGATGGAGAAGAAATTGTTAAGCCTTGTCTCCAAATATTTGCAAGACGTCTTGGTGATAAAAGTATTGAAAGGAAAGCAGACGAAATTGCTCTTTCAAAGCAGACAGTTACGAGACGTACCGAGGAACTCTCTCATGATGTATCTCAGCAACTGAAAAACCTTGTCTATTCTTGTAATTTCTTTTCTTTAGCTTTGGACTAATCAACTGACATATGTGATGTAGCCCAGTTAATCATTTTTATAAGAGGAATTGATGATCATTTTAGTGCCTTTGAAGAACTTGTCAGTCTTGAGTCGCTTCATGGAAAAATAAGAGGATCAGACATATTTGACAAAGTAAAATCATGCCTAGAAAATCTACAATTAGATTCTAGTAAACTCATCACCGTGTGTACTGACGGAGCGCCGTCAATGATAGGGAAAGTCCCTGGGACTACAACTTTGCTTGAAAACTTTTTAAATCGTCCTCTACTAAAATTTCACTGCATTATACACCAAGAGTCACTGTGTGGAAAAACTTTAAATTTGCAGCATGTTATGTTACCAGTTGTGAAATGTGTGAATAAAATTAGAGCAAGAGCATTAAATAGACGAGAATCTAGAGAATATTGTGAAATGTTAGATTTGGAATATGGCGACCTTGTCCTTCATTGTGAGGTGCGCTGGCTTTCTAGAGGACAGGTTCTGAGTAGGTTTTGGAAACTGAAAAATACTGTTCATAATTTTCTAGAAGAGAAAAATGAGCTACCTGAGGAAAGAGCCCTTTTATGTGATAAAAACTGGCTATTTGATTTGGCATTTTTAGTTGATGTTGCCAGACATCTCAATGATCTAAATTTGAAACTGCAGAGCAAGAACAAATTGTTTCCTAGCTTAGAAAATGACATCAATGCATTCAAGATGAAGTTAAAACTGTTCATCTCTCGGTTAGAAAATGAGGATTTGAGCCAGTTTCCGCACTTAAAAGAGCAGAGTGAATGTGCTGCTGATAATGGCAATTTGACAAAATATACTGAAAAAATCAAGTTATTGCAAGAGTCATTTGAAAGTCGTTTTTGTGATTTTGCTAAAGAAGAAGACTGCATACTCGCATTTATAAACCCATTTTCACTTAGTGAACAAAAATTAATGAAGATGCCTAGTGACATACAAATGGAACTTATTGATTGGAAAGCAAATTCATTATTGAAAATTAAAGCTGATGAGGTTTCCTCAGTCCCAAATGCTTCTGACATGATTAATTTCTGGCGATCATTACCCTGTGAAAGTTTCCCAGAACTAAGAAAATTTGCCCAGAGTTATATATGTCGTTTTGGAACAACATATAGATGTGAACAAGCATTTTCATCCAAGAAATTGATTAAAAGCAAAACGAGGTCGCGACTGACTGATTCAAATTTGAAGAATTCTCTGCTGCTCTGCACCAATTGTTCCGGCACAGGGATATCACCGTAGATATTTTTCTTAGACCGGAAATGTGATCCCATTTTATTTTCTAGGCTGGAAATCAGAAAGAGGCAGTGGATCATATGACAATGGTGTGTACTCAGTGGATGAAATCAGGCCATCCTGAAGACTTGATCAGAGCTGCAAGGCATTACGAACGAGCTTCCCAAATTGTCATAAGTCAACAGGTAAGTAGTACTGTACTTCATAACCCATATCTTTATATGTATCACAACTTTCACCTTACTCTGTTCTGTAGTCCTTAATCTTGAAGGTAATATAGCCCAAATTTCATGTATTATCTCACCAGGATATCTAGATGATTGGCTTAAAATGTTTCAGTAATAGCTGTTCTAGGAAGACTTGTTTCAGACACCTAAGGTTATCAACTGCATTGGTGATTAAAGCTTGGCACAATTGAGTTTGGGGAGCAATAAGGAGCCAGTGATAGAACTGGGGACCTGGTAAAAAATTTCTCCAGGCATTTATATCACCTAATGAAAAAGCCAGAAAATAAAATCCTCGTGGCACATAATATTTCAGCTATTACAGCACAAATTAGTTGAGCTTTCCTTGTGCGTACAGTATTTACAGCTGATTCGCCAGGCAAGAAGGTGACGGTAGCAATGCATGTGATGGATGGTGCGTGAGGGTTTTTTAGAGAATTGCAATTAAATGCCAGGTAGCTATGTGTCCTCCTAATTTTACGTATTTAAGTACTGTAATTATTAGATGTTTTAATTGCCAGCATGTTGGCCTGGCGAGTTAATGCTTGGCATATACATAATAGTTAGTGGAAGTAATAATACCGCTTTATCTTGAGTAAATCAGTTGTGAATGATGCATTCTTTAGATATGTGAATATTTAAGTTCACAGCATCACAATTATAAATATTGCAACTTCCTGTACTGAAGTGTATTTTCTGTTTTACTATAATATACTGTGAAGATAATTCAAGCTGTTCAGATTTTTCATGGAATTTCTTGTAAGTATATTTAGATTCAAGTATAGTTGTATTTATGAGATTAATGTGATCTTTGTCATGTGAAGGTGGAAACAGCAGTTGTCCATGTATCAACGATGTGGGTGGCACCGGAGCTCCGCCAGAAAGTGGATGTTGGAGTATGGGTGGAGGCTCATTCACCCGCTCGCATTGACCTGGCAGGAGGTTGGTCTGATACTCCACCAATTTGCTATGAACAAGGAGGAGCAGTATTAAACATTGCTATCAAGGTATCTGATAGATTTATACGGTGTGTGTGTGTGTGAGGCATTTTTATCTGTTGAGTTAAGCGAATAAAAAAATTGGTTGTTGATATTTTGAATTAGATGACTACACTAATCTTGACCCTTGCTTTATACAATGGTTGCATTCTGTGGTAACATAGCATAATGGGAATCTGCATATAATGAATACTTAATCTCATGGGGAAAATTAAGACATGTTCCACAACTACTGAAAGTCAACAGTAATTCTATAAAAGTTGTGGAAAAATCATTAAAATACAGTGTACTATAGATACTCCTGAGCATGGTAATTTTGAACATGAGGTCCACGCTTCGACTGCGGGATAATTAGTGGTTGTAATTACGCTTGGAAAATTTAAAGACATTTTTCAATGCTAATTTATCTCCAATTATGAACTTCGTAAGTGCGATTTTGGTGTTAATGTGTTATGCTATAAATACTTAATTAGTTAAACCACTTAAATTTTAATTCTGAGAGAAAAGTATATTTTGGTCGAAAAATTACTAAGGTGTAAGACTTACAATTTTTGGCATTTCGTCCACAAATAGATTTTGATCAAAATCGCAGTATAGGTACTCCTGAACATGCTGATTAAGGATCTGTTAACCAAAATTTTATATATCGATTATTGCTTGTTCAAATGATTTTTAGAATATTTTATTTACTTTTGCAATGCTAATTACTCGCCACTTATGGGTTTTCGAGGTCATTTCTTGGTGCTTGTGTATTATTCTGGATGTACTTAAATAGTTAGGCACATTAAATTTTAGTTCAGAGAGAAAAAGTATTTTTGGCCAAAAATTCTGTAAGGGGTAAGCCTTACAATTTTTGGCATTTCGTCCACAAATGGATTTTGTTCAAAATTTCAGTATATTGTAGGTACTCCTGAATGTGCTGCTTAAGGATCTGTTAACCAAAATTTGATATCTTGATTATAACTTGTTCAAATGGCTTTTAGAAAATGTTCAAATGATTTTTAGAATATTTTAATTACTTTTGCAATGCTAATTACTCGCCACTTATGGGTTTTCGAGGTCATTTCTTGGTGCTTGTGTATTATTCTGGGTGTACTTAAATAGTTAGGCACATTAAATTTTAGTTCTGAGAGAAAAAGTATTTTTGGCCAAAAATTCTGTAAGGGGTAAGCCTTACAATTTTTCGCATATAGTGAATGCTCATAAAGTGAGGGTCCACTGTACAGTAAACCTAATTTTCTACTTGTTTTAAGAGGGTTTACTCTTCGAGTGAGAATTAACTCTACAAAATGTTCTGTAATACTCTAAGTATTTTCTTTAGATTGAATTAAAAAAGGGAATTTCACATTTTATCATGAACAATAATGTACAGTGAAGGTTTTTAACTTTCTTAAATATAAACACAGATTAACAAGAAAAAGCCCATTGGTGCTCGTGTCCGAATAGTGCCTGAACTCTACATTGCTTGTGTTCTCCGCGATTGGTCTGGTGGAGATGTCCGCCTGACTTGGACTGAATTAGATCATCTGTGTGATTATGACAACCCTGTTTCCCCCGGAGCTTTGGTGAAGGCTGTGCTCCTCTACTGCCAACTGGTGGACCTCAACAGTGAAGACTCTCTCGTTTTACAGTTAAAGAATAGGTAATGTACCAATTTTTTTTAAAGCTAACCTAACTATTTTTGGTATTACCATTAAAACTTGCTCTAACAAACTTTTTCATTTAATAAGGGAGCGTGGTAATCAAATACGGTATTATTTTGTACAGCATTGGTCTCATAATAATTTGTTGTTATAATTTAAGCTTGCTCTCATATTAGTGAATTATGTACTATATAAAGTCACCATCTTTGATCGGCTCCTGGCAACTACACTAGGCACTTTATTATGGCTGGTGGAACTTGGCAACCTTGGCATAGTAAGGTGTGAAACTTTATGATTGAACTCGTCCATTTGTAACAGTGGTTATGATTGGTTTACCCGGTACATATTTTTACCGTAACCTGAGCTAACCTAACCTAACTTGAGGTAACCATTGCTCAGGTTAGGTTAGGTTCAGATACATTCAATAAAATGAAAGTTAGTGTCAATATCTTCAGTTTTCTGCTGTTTATGAACAAGCCCAAATTTATTAATTTTAGTATAGGAAGTAGCTACTTAGGTGGGCGTTCCCAGCTTGGCTGAAGGCCAGGAAACCAGTCATTAAAAGCTGGTGTGGATCAACTGGTTTTTTTTCACTGGAATGTCAGGGGTGTTTGTTTCAGCAGAGATGATGTTCACACAAACACTAATTCCTTTTATGGCTTTATTAGGAAAATAGATTGTGCGCATAATGTATATAAAGTCACAGGCGTGAGTATTAACGGGGGACTAGATACGAGGCAGATAATAACACTTCTGATGTGTGTGGGATACTGATAAGCACTGGCCAGGAACCGGCTACTTAATCCACGCATTCACTGTGCATGCATAGAGGTCAGTGGAAAAACACTGGGCTACGTGACGAGTTTCACATTGAAAATTATGACTACACATTCCTCATAGTCTAGTTACTGTAGGTGATGTGATTATGTAAACATAATGAATGTAGCCCACATTTATATAAGTACAGGTTGTACTTCTCTAGTCCGGCAACCTCGGGACCTGACCGGTGCCGGACCATGGAAATTCACCCTTTTCCTGGATAGATAGTGACTTGTGCTTATGCTTGGAAGCACTAGCACCACTTTCTCTGCATCATGGTCTCTTTAAAGACATATTGAAGGGTTAAATGTCGTATAGTAGCTTCTCAAATTTCGCGAGTTTTTAATTCAACGTATTTTGTTGGAACACACACAAAAAAACATAAATAAAAATTTTGACGGCGGAAACTTGAATTTCGACGGGTTTGAACGGCCCGCCAACGTGCATAATCGTGTAAACAGCGTCATTTCTCTTATGTACAAAAGATTCATTATTGTTTATTCCTGAATGTCTTTTTTATTGAAATAATGTTTATGTGTGCAAAATGAACAATACAATTCATTAATAATACGTAGAATATTAAAACACGAGGAAATGACAGCATTGTTTTCGTTGATTACAAAACTGAAGAAAATAAGACTGGTTGTAGGTGTAGTAAAATTAATATGGTTGTTTTAAGTAATGTTATTTCATGTTAATAAATGGAACAATAGAAGTGGCTAACGATAATGGTAAAGAAAAAAGAGAGATCGCGTATGTAAGTGCGCACATGTGAAAACATATCGTCATTACTTTACATAAGAATATGAAAGCAACACTTATTTACTGTTCATATATATTTTAATTAATGTTTCTGAATTTGTTTTTATTGAATTAATGTTTGTGTGTGCAAAATTAACAATACAATTTATTAATAATGAGGAGACGAGACGGCTGCCAGTATTGTTTATGTTAAAGCTTACAAAACCAATGACTGATTGGTTCTACATATAAAACTGAAGAAAATAAGACCCTCATTGTAGCTGTAGTAAAATTAATATGGTTGTTTGAAGTACCTGTAATGTTATTTAATGTTAATAAATGGAACAATATAAGTAGCTAACCATTAATGGTAAAAAAAAAAGTGAGACTGCGTATGTGAGGGCGCACATGTGAAAACATATCGTCATTACTCTACATAAGAATATGAAAGCAACACTTATTTACTGCTCATATATATTGAAGGGTTAAATGTTGTACTCTGTATAGACAAGCAGAGAGAGAGAGAGAGCAGCCGAACTGCCGGATGTAAACAAACCTTAATTTCCCGCTGCTTTGTTGGTGTTTTTTTTAAGGGGATTAGCTCACCCAGGCATAGGTCACCGAACCACTTTGGGGCCTGAGGGGCAAAAATTTAATACTCCTGTAATAATACTAATAATTCAGATAAAAAAAAAAGAGCTGCCTATCTACCTATTGGACAAACTAAAATCGTTCCGAACCACGGGAGTTTCCGGACCTCAGAATGCCGGACTAGAGAGGTACAACCTGTATTACTGTCTGTTTAACAAGGGGTTAATACATCTCAGTGATCGTATTCTCAGCTAATTCATGTGCCGTTTTAGCACTTACGCATACTCATAGGAGATTACCATCCTGAATACATTTCATCCATGACTTTAACGATGAGCCTCTTTTGTACAGTACAGTACTTGGCAAATGCAAAATGAACTAAACTGTATTGGATATTACAAGTATTATGTATAGCATCCTGGGGACATATAGGTGGAGCATTGTTGCCAGTATGGTGTACTGTACTATGATGAAGTATGTAACAAATGCAAATCTTGATCTGGAGGGGCAAATCTGGCAACATCTGTTGTATTATCCCAGTTTTCATTTTGGTAGTGTATACTTGCCCTGGAACGGTAGTAAGAGTAGTGTACCAGAACCCCTGTATGTAACCTGTTATGTAAAATGCCTTCTAACCTCAGTGTCGATGTAACCAGGATTATAGAATATATGAGCGAGCACCCCACCCCCAGTAGTGACGCTTGAGATGATTCATATTGACCAGATTAAAAAAAATTTGAACAATGGATATGATAATATTAGGACAGGTGCTGTATGATGTAGGAAAGATACAAAGTGAGTGGGGAGTGGTGGTTGGACCTGTTAAAAATGACTGTTTGATTCAAATGATTCTAAGTTGATTTGGAAGGCAATTAACTGGAATGGGGAAGTCTCAAGAGGCAGATTTCAAACAGCCAGATGCAGAACAATTTATAATTCACTTTAAAAAGCTCTTGAATCCTTGTTGTAATGCTAAAGTTGGTAATACATGTACTGTTGATTTGGAAGGTGCCCAGGACATACCAGTGCTGGATAATCCATTTGCACTGCTTGAGTTCACCAACACCATAAAGAATCTGAGCTTGAATAAGAGTTTTAGCAGAGTTTTTTGGGGGTTGTTTGTTCAGCTACCTTCACAGTGTTTAATATTTTTAATAATTTTATTTAATGCAGATTGATGTACACATTGATCACTTCAACCTATTTGTATTTTAATAAGATATAAGCCAAAAATGCAGCTAAATATATAACTTACTGGTCAGAACTTAACTCAACTCTTGCTGTATATGGCATATACAGTACATATGATAAGAAAGTATACATCCAAAATTATATCCGCATGGATTTTACTCAGGTAAGGCTCATGTCTCACAACCTTAAATTAAAAACGGGAAGGTGGAGTAGAATGACCAGAGAGCGAAGGGTATGTCTCTGTGATAATGTCCGTACAGGATGAGAAACATGTATTAATAGATTTCTCGTTGTCAACCCCAATCTGACATAGTTACCCAGTGTTAATGGTGAACACATTACACATTGAATTCCCTGATAGTGAAAAGAAATTTTTTAGATATCTGTAAATATTTTCATGATGTTTTGAAACTCTACAGTTAAGCGTCAAATGTTTTTGTGGTACAGTGAGTTCTGCTATAACGCGTGTTTTGATAACGCGAATTTGCTCTAACGCGATTTATGAATTAGGAACGATATTTGTATAACGCGAACGCTTGTTTGCTATAACGCGATTTTTGCTTACTATTTCTCCAATTTTGTGGTATTAAATGTGAATATGGTAAAGAAGAATATCTCCAAGAAGCGTTCTGGTGATAGAATTCCTGGTGATGATCGTAAAAGAAAGGATATAACACTTGAAGAGAAGCTCGATGTTATCAACCTCAAAATCACCCTTCTCCCCCATCAAGTTACATTCATATTTTTTCAAGGTAAAGTGTTACATTTACTGTATGATTTCATTATTAGATATGAATGTAACATTTATTTAGACTGTGCTATCCTTTGTGTTAGGCTAACTACTAAATTTTTTCGATTTCGAGTAATCTGCACCTAACCCTATTTTCTCCATAAGCCCTGTTATTTCTATTACGCGATTTTCTATAACACGATATTTTACAAGAACACAATTATCGCGTTATAGCAGAACTACCTGTAATTGTAAAAATGTAAATTGTTAAATGCTCTGTGCTGCTTATGGCCACAATATTTTAATTATGTAAATATGTATGGGTAACTGTGACGTGCTCTATAACATGTGTAATTATGCACATGATATTGTAAAAGGTTTTGAATAGTTGTTTAATATTTAATGAATTTTTCACCTTGTAGTTTGCTGAATTATCATTTATTTTGTTGGAGACTGCATGTGTAACTTTATGTACAGTACTTATGTATTATTTTTTTATTGTAATTTTTGTGTCAATAAATTAACTAACTATCTATCTGTAGGTTTGGTGGTGGTGTGGAGATCGAAGTTTGGTCACATTTGCCCCAAGGATCAGGTCTTGGAGGCAGCAGTCTCCTAGCTGGAACTTTGTTGTCTGCCATTGTGGTGTTGCTGGGGTATCCACTACCTCGTCACTCACATCTCATCCATGCAACTCTGTGCATTGAACAGTGGCTCACCACTGGTGGGGGATGGCAGGACCAGGTTTGTTAAAATTAACTATTATAATTCTATAGTGTTATTAAATGAATAACAACCACACATTATATATGTATGAAAATTCATGCCAGTTCAATGTAAACAGAATAAAATACTAAGTACAGTCCTGTATGAAAATAAGGTCTCCACAAATGTCCAAATCTTAAAACTACTTTTTTTTTAACTTGGTCATCGATAGAGACACACAGGTTTCAGTATATCAATTGTCTATTTGTTATTAAAATGGCAGGTTGGAGGACTTTTAGGAGGAGCCAAGTTGGGTGTGAGCAGCAAGGGAACTCCTGTCACAGTGTCCACCTACAAGATCCCTCTATCACAGGAATTTGTCAGCTCCCTCAATGACCATCTTCTCTTACTCTACACTGGGAAGGTATAATTTTATCCTGTGGATAAGTGACAGGGCTGGCACAAATTAGCTCAGTGTTGTTAAATTTCCTAATTGTAAAGTCAGATGACAAAAAATGCCAAACAGATGTAACTTAGATGACCTAACCAGACCTATTTGGACCTAACCTAGATGCTTTATTTTAATATACGTATATTGTATGGTATATACTGTATACTGTACTGTATGTCCTCTCCAGGTCCGTCTTGCAAGAAACCTGCTTCAGACAGTCATTCGTAACTGGTATGCCCGTGACCCGAATATAACATCATGCTTCTCACAGCTTCAACAGTTGGCTCTACAAGCTGCTGGAGCCATGCTTGGAGAAGACCTCAAGATGCTGGGCTCCTGTATTAATAACTATTGGAGATTGAAGAAAATGGTTGCATCTGGGTGTGAAACAAGCAAGGTGATTATATATATATATACTGTACACACACACACATATATACACACAGTGATCCCTCGGTTAACGAAATTTCGGTTAACGAATTACCTTCCATAAGATTCTTCACTTCGGTTAACGAGCAATCCCTCGATTAACGAATTCCTTACGAGCGCCCCTCAACACGTTTTCGCTTGCTCACTAGCTGTCATATTAGTCCGCCAATACAGTAATCGGTTCTAGGGCTTAAATTCCTTACCATTTTAGTAAATATCAAGAAGGTTGTACTATTCAATCATTTTAAAAGTTTTATATTAAATTTTTTAGTCATTTTAACAATTATTGAACATAATTGAAGTCAGGAAATTAGTTTTATGCGCGCCAAACAGCCACTCAACACACCAAGCTTGGCGTCAGTTTGTTTACAGGTTCAGCGGAAGGAACATCTTGTTTGAGACTCTTCAACATAAATGCTTTTTTTTCTGTGTTTCCAGTCAAATTATTGGTCATTTTGAAATATATTTTACATATTGATAATATATAGTGCAGTGCAGTGTTGATTTAAAGAAAATAATCTTGAATTACACCAAGTGAACTAAAATTTTATGGGTGAAATGGCGGCATGGGGTGACTTCTCTTCCACCCCAATGCCTTCTCTTCTCCCTTCTCCTCCACCGCCATTCTAATTCCCATCATCAACCAGGAGCCTTCTACATGCACACCTCAAAGTAAGTGTACTTTACTGCATTTATTTTTCGTTTGTATGTAATTTTCGGTGAGCTGGAACCAATTACCCAAAAACCCATTGAAACAATGGTTTCGGTATAGTACAGTATATCGATAAAAATCACACCATATACTGTATATGGAATTATTGAATACTACCATCTGTGTTGAAGAAAGGTTATGTGTTCATTAATATCTGTTTGTTTGAATTGTTGCAGTCACAAGATCCCTGACACACACACTCACAGATGCATGTGTGTGGATAAACAGTGTTAAAAACCCTTATCTCCTCCACAGGTGATAGGGGGAATTAAACTGAAAACTATTCTTTCCATAGTATGTAGGACCTGAACACTTCTTTTTTTTTTCAGGTATCCAAACTAATGGCTACTCTACAAGATCATTGTGCGGGTATATCCTTGGCTGGAGCTGGTGGAGGGGGTTACCTTTATGCACTGAAAGCTAAGCCAGGACAACTGGCAGATGATATCAACCTTGGTGGATTAACTAGTGACTGTGTAGAGGTGGATGAACATGGGTTAGAGTTGTGCATAGGTGGAGAATCAGTAGCTAAGTTAAATGAAGATAAAATTTTCTTGACTCGTGAGAAGCTGAAGACTTTGTTTGAGAACTAAAGTTATCAGCAGGTTTTCAGCTTCAGACTACATTTTATCACTTTTTAATTAAATTAAAGTATTGTAAATATTATAGGTCAGTTAGTAAATTGTAATTCATCCACAGTAAATGGTCATGCATCCATTGAAGGTGAGAAATTGTACATTCCATGCATATGAGCAACTAAAATAACCATTGCAGGACTGTAGTTAGCTTGTTTTACATCTATTAGTTCCATGAGTGCATCATGGAACAGTAATATAGCCTAACAAGCTGATCAACTTCTGTATTGAAACAAAAAATATTAATTTTCAAAGCATGATCTTAAGTAATTTTAAATCAGTAGACATAGAAGCAAAGACATACATAACTATGAAGAACAAATTTATTAGTCTTTTACAGACAATTGGACATTTCAAGTACAGTACAGTATTTACTTTACCTATTTGTATTCAATGTTCCATTTTTGTCATTCTCTATCATGTGAGATTATATCCAGTTAGCCCTTTACCCTAAGCTTGGTCTAGCTTTTGTCAGGTTTTTAACTTTTAATATAATTTTTGTACATGATGATGATAATGAAGTAAAGTGGCAAATGACTTTGCCATGAGAGAGGAGAGGAAAGAGAGAAGGAAAGAATAGAAACGGGAAGTAAAGTGGTTGGGAGTAATAGCAGGTGGGCTGTCCACCTAGCTGAGTCGAGGTGATTAGTTGGGGTGGTGGCCATACATAGCAAGCATCCTCCTGCTCAATGGAGGCTGGGGGGAGGGGGAGCTAAGCTAGCTAGGCATTATTAGTGTAATGTGTGTTAATTTATGTTAGTTAAAGGGTGTTATTTGTTCATATATATATTTATAAAGTGAGTCTGGTTCTTCTATGTTAGAATGGAGGCTCTTAGACCACCAGCTGTTGTTTCTTCTTTTAACTGGGAGAAGATTAGATCCTTCAACTCTTCAAGTTTCATCCAAACTCTCTTAGCTTGCCTGTGTGTACGCATGTTCAGTGGTTCAATATTGTATAGTTCATGAAGTTCTTGTATTTTGGTGGTGTATGGAGGGAGTTGCTTTGGTGCTCTACAAATAGTTTTGCTTTGTGCTGCTGGGAGTTGCTTTGGTGCTCTACAAATAGTTTTGCTTTGTGCTGCTGGGAGTTTAAGTTGACTGGTTCTGCTAATCGTACTGAGTGGTATTGGCAGGTATTCCAGGTGGGGGCGGACAAGTGCTTTGAATAGGTGTAGCTGAATGTTGGTGATTATTTTGCTGAATCTTCGTAGTTTTGCGAGTTTGATTGGGTAAGCATTTTGCGTTGTGTTATGTGTTTTGTCATGCCTGCTCTTGTTTTTGAGTCCTAGTATTTTGCCTTCGTTGGAGTATTGTATATGTTCGTTGTTGACTATGATTGGTGTTCGATTTGTTTTGGCAATTTGAATGATCTTTAGCTTCTGCATATTAGTTTAAAATAAACACTTATTTTCATAATTGTTTCTGTGCTCGATGGCGTGGGCTGTTTTTTGTGCCATCATTATTTTGGCCTTGCCTGAATGTCAGATGATTTAGGTGATGTCGTCAGCATAGGCTATGTATTCTCCATGGGTAAGAGATGGCATGTCAAACGTGTATATTGTGTTGTGTGTTAGTGAGAGGTTATTTCCATGTGATACTCTACTATATAGCTTGATGCTTGGGCCTATGTCGTTGCCAATGATGATTTTTGCATATCTATTATCAAGGAAGTTGCAAAGGGAAGAAGTGAAGTTGTTGGAAAGTTCTTGGGTGGTTTTTTGTATTTGTCGAATGCTTTTGCTTACGTCCCTTAATACTACAGTATGTTGCATTGATCTCTATTGTGCATTGCATTGGCTATGTTTTTGTAAATTAGGGCTATGGCTGTATGGGTTCCTCTATGTTTTCTAAATCCTTGCTGCCTGGGATTGTATTTCTCTTCAAGTTCCGAGGTGTGTTCTCAGTTGGTGGTTCTTGATTTTTTCTATGACTTTTCCCGGTGTTTCTAGAAAAGAGATTGGTCTGTAGTTTGATGATTGTGTGGGGGATTTCCCTTGTTTTGGTATGTCTGATGCTCGCTGTTTTGAATTTCCTTGTGAAGTAACCAGAGGCGAGTGATGCATTAAAAATGTTTCTGAGTTGGTGGATCATGTTGTTTGGTAGATGCTGGAGTATGAGGTTGTTTATTTTACTGATGCCTGGAGCCTTGTTCTTGAAACTGTTTATTGTGCTGTGTATGTCGTCTGCGGTGATTGGTTTGATCAGTGGGGATAGATTGTCGAGTATGTTTATGTCTATATTGGGACCCGGTTGCCAGATGTGGTTTGTGCGTGTCATGTAATTGGTTACTTGTCACTCGATATTCATACAGAAGTTCAGGTTTTCTTTGTAACTTATTTGAAATATTTTGCTCAAATATTTCTTGAATTTGGGTTCTTGTTCTTTCGGTTCGGTTAATTTGATTTGATTGCTTTTTAAAATGTAGTTTGATTCATTGCTGGAGGTTCCCATTAGGTGTTTAATTTTTCACCAAAATTGTTTTGGGATGTGGTAATTTGCTTCTGTGTCTGTTTTTAGATTATGCCAGTTTTTACTACAGTGATATCTCCGTTAGTCGGAACAATTGGTGCAGAGCACTTCCGGGAATGAGAGATTTCCGGGTAACGAGACGACTCTCTGGATAACGGAAAAATTTTCTTGAAAGTTCCAGAAATTGCCCATTACATCATCTCTTGGACCCGGAAAAAAAAATCCCTCATCCCTGGAATTTTCCGGTTCACGGAAAGTTTTTCTCGGAATTTCCAGAAAATGCGCCTGACTTTCATCTCACAAACCCAGAAAAACAACCCCATCCCCATCCCCAGAATTATCCGGGTATCAGGAAAATTTTCTCGGAATTTTCTGGAAAATGTGCCCCTCGGAAAATCGTTTCCAAAGTCGGCTTTGGGAACAATTTTCCAAGAAAATTACAGTTTTCGGAGAGTTCCAGGTTTGAGGAATTCTGGTTAATGGAGATATTACTGTACAGTACAACGTTGATATAACACGAGATATATATATATATATATATATATATATATATATGTATGTATGTTATAGTCTGAAACACTAAATGCACACTTATTTATTTTTGGGACTTTGTAATACCGTACTAATCACAGTACCAAATATGTTTGTCCTTGTGGAAGAGACAGGATTTTTCACTGTACTACACTGGGCAAAGCACTGTCTGAATTATTATCGTAAAACCTTGCATTTGCTGCCCAATAATGTCGATTGCACCCGTTACACACGAGCCATTTTGCTTATGATTCACATTTAACCAATAATGCCACCTACACTCGTACACATGTGAAATATTCCCAGTGGTAAGAATCAAACACATTCATTGGTTCAATAAGACGTGTGCCTTGCCTCGCCTGAACTCCAGACCAAAAATGTTAAATACAGTATCTTGCTTACATGTAATTTGTGATAGAAATGTCATAAGGAAAAGTGAGAGATGGGTTAGAGTTACCTGTACAGTACCACCAATTGATTTGCAAACATATTTTGAGAGTCCACTTGTAAAATACAGTAATACCAAAATAAAAAGTTGTCACCTCTTTTAAAATACAGTACCCCTGTACTTACTATGATACAAACATCTGTGGAAAAAAATTGCGAAATCAAATTGTCTGAACTATGGATTGCAAAGAAAAAATCTCCAGATTCGGTTGGTGGCAACTTATACAATAATACCTGTTAAATTATTTACAGCTAATATAGAAATTTATTATTGCCACCTTAATAATTGATTTGGATGAAAAAAAGTTCACCAGCTCTATAATGTACTGATTTGTGTATATAGGGAGATAGAGCAAAAAATATGGTAAAAAATATGGTAAATATTCTGTAGTGACCATCCATGGAACTTAATATTGATACTTATACTGTATAGGGAGATAGAGCAAAGTGAAATTAACTAAAAACTATAATTGCTGATGGAAATGCTATAGAGTAGAGTAAAGTATTTCTAGTGAAGGTGGAAAACATCTTATGGAGTTGAACCAAAGTTTCTAGAGATACTATTTGAACGATGCTAAATATGAAAATGGAAATGAGAAAGCACAGAACCTGACCTAACCAAGGAAACTTACCAAACTTTAACTCATAAATTTACCTTAATTCTCCTTATGTATACAGTAACCTTTGTCCAATCTATACTGTGCAATTACCTTTATCCTCCCTATGCATACATGCATACAGTGATCTGTATCCATCCAGTAATATGCTGATAGTACTTTGGAACAGGGTTGTGGGTTAACCAGCATGTTTTTAGAAAATTACTGTTTAGAACATAATTTCTTTTATATCTGGACGATTTTTTTGCTTGGGAGCCTCTGTGACCCCTTGGTGCGACAGGTTTTTTCTGTAGCTTTCAGCATGTACTGTGCATGTATACACAGTACAGTACATATACACAAACACTACTTACAATACTACAGTACACAAACACTGTTCACTCTGCTAAGCATGTTACTGTATGTACGGTGCTTAGGTTACATTATTCAAACATTGTCCACTCTGCTCTGTGTGGTACCATATGTACAATATGGTGTTCACACAAATAATGTTGATTTTCAGTAAAATACATACGATACTGTAATCACTGTTTATATTTTAAAACTTCTTTAACACTGTTTTCTTAGCTGATTGTGTACTGGTACAGAAATGTACAGTTCTGCATAATGAAAATTTATGCAAAAACAGGAGCAAACGAGGGATCAACCTTGTAGAATGGCAGCAGACTATGAACTAAGTGTGTCATCATGCTAGGTTTAGGAGAGGATAATCTTGGAGATGCATCAGCTTATCACAGGCATCCCCTGCAGTCATATAACAGCATTAGACAATCTCGGCACGTGAACTTACAGCCAGAGTTACCCAAGCGGTCTTCCCACCCAAACATCAAGCATAAGAGGACACGGAGCATGATGCAATCTTTTGTAACTCCTGGAAACTTTTGCCCCAGGCCTGGAGCAGAAAGGTTTGAAGAGATTTTTCAGGAAATTGCACATTACACTTCAGGTAACGTACTGTACTGTACCTTCTTGTATTTCATCCTTGGAATTTGTTCTCAGACCCGGAACAGAAAAGTTTGGAGAGTGTCAGGAATTTTCCAGAAATTGAATATTGTACATTATTATACAGTATCATCCTCAAAATTTGTTCCCAGACTTGGGAAAAAAATTGGAGAGATGTTCTGGATTTTCAACCTCGGAAACTAGTTCGCAGACTTTGAATTTAAAAAAAAAATCAGGAAAAATTCTGGGCTGATTTCAATTCCAGCAATTGGAAAGTTCTGGGAACTGGGAAATTCCAGCTAATGGGGAGATTACTGCGTACAACAATTATACGAACATTTGGAAAATTGTCATGACCCTAAGTAACACTGAATAGTTTATTATAAAAATGCTACCTTTGACAGTGATACAGCCGAAAGTAGATCCACCAATCACAGTCCCATTACATACAGCCTTACTTCACCAAGTGTTGCCAGGTAAAATTGCAAGTGTGAGACCAAGGGTGGGGCTGATGCATCTTTGGTTCACTGTACATAACTTTTTTCTTCTTTTTTTTACGGGGAATACTCCACCAGGGCACAGGTCATCGACCCACAACAGGGCCTAGGGGGCGAAAAAATTAGAGTAAAAAGAAATTAAGAATAGAAAAGAAAAAAGATTATATTAATCTACACCACGAAGATGCCGGAAAACCAGCTTTTTGAAGTGAGACATTGTATAAGTATGGAAACACATAAGAAGGCAGAGCATTCCACAGTTTGGCTGTGTGAAGAAAGAAGGATGTACTATAACTGGGCAGCGCGGGCAAGATGAGTGTTACGAGCCCACGGCCTTGCCGGCGGTACACAGGATGTCAAATCCACTGAACATTGCCCGTTAAAGTACCTGTAAAAGAGAGAGAGAGTGAAGCAACATTGCAGCAGAGAGAAAGGGAAGAAAGATAATCAACTAAAGGAGGAAAGTCAATTAGATGAAATGCCTTTGATTCCACCCTGTCTAACAGTTGGACAGGAGAAGAACCACCCCAGTTATGAGAGCAGTACTCCAAGTTAGGGCGATTGAATCCCATATAAACTTGAAGTATCTGCTCAGGAGTGAAGTAGCTACTGCAACTGTACAGCATTACCAGCTTTCGGGAGGCGGCTTTAACAATGTTGTGGATGTGTGGCTTCCATGACATATTAGAGGAAATAGTGAGGCCTAGCATATCTAATTTAAAATTTGGCAGAATGATTGCATCTTGAAATGTGATTGGAGGGAGATCATCTAATTTGGAAAGTGTAATTGGTAAATACCGAGTTTTATTACTATTGAATTTAACCAACTTTCTACTTCCCCATTTGGAGATGCTGCACAGATCCGCATTAATAGATGAAATGATATCAGCTCTAGAAACAGATCTAGTTTGAGAATTAGGGGGGAGGGAAAAATGTGAAGAAGAGTAGAATCATCTGCGTAAGAATGGATAGAATTAGTTGTAGTGTGAAGTAAATCATTGATTAAAAGAAGGAAGAGAGTAAATGAAAGAACAGAACCCTGTGGGACACCACTATTGGTAGAGAAAGAGCGAGAGATCGATCCCTCATCAACAACTGCCATGGATCGATTCTCAAGGAAGCTAGAAATCAGAGAACAAAGTGGGGGAGTGAAACCATAAGAGGGAAGTTTAGAAAGCAAAGTCCTGTGTTATACCCTGTCAAATGCTTTGGAGATGTTGAGGACCATGACGCAAGTTTCCCCATAACCCCTAAGAGAGGATGACCAAAGATGGGTGCAGTAGGAGAGCAGATCACCAGTAGATCTCGCTTGGCAAAAGCCATACTGGTGATCCAACAAAAGAATAAAGCTTTCAAGGTGATGGAGAAAATGAGTTTAAGATAGTTTCAAAAATCTTGGAGAGGGATGAAGTTAGGGCAATGGGGCGATAGTTAGAGGGAATGGAATGGTCACCCTTCTTCGGGATGGGCTGAACTGAGGCGTGGTTGCAAGAAGAAGGAAAAGTTTGAGTTTTTGAGGCAAAGGCTGTTATAGATAGTTTAACCCCATAAATTTGTAGGTAGCATGTCAACAAGTCATGCACCATGTTTTAGCATACTGAATTAGAATTGAACATGGAGTTTTATGAAAATTCAGAGTTGTTTTTCTAATCACTTAAACATTTTACTACACTACTGTACCTCTAATAAGATGGAATGTTTAGTAATGCTGGGAAAATATTTGAAAATACAGGTTGACAATCCCTTATCCGAAATCCTTGGGACCAGATGCATTTCGGTTTTTGGAATTTTTCGGTTTTCAGAATGGTTAGGGTTTTTTTTTTTTTTTTTAAGACAGGGATCAGTCCACCCGAGCACAGGTCACTGACCCACATTGGGACCTGGGGGCTAAAATATAATAATAATAATAATAATTCATAGGTCTAGGTCGTGTTTCTCACTTTTGATCTTTTTTTCATTCTTGTATTTCTTTATTATTATTTTATTAGTACAGTATTATTGTTATTATTATCATTGTTATCATTCTTATTTTATTTTTGTGTATTTTTTATTAAAATTTTTATTTACTGTGCTATGAATAGTTATTATTATTACTGTATTAACATTATTATTATAATTATTATTACTACAGTATTACATTTTCACCCCCCAGGCCCCGATGTGGGTCAGTGACCTGTGCCCGGGTGGGCTGTCAAAAAAAAAACAAAAAAAAAATTGCTCCACAAAAAAACTTTCGGTTTTCAGAGCTTTTCGGTTTTTGGAATTTCGGATAAAGGGTTGTCAACCTGTACTGTACAGTTCAGTACATGAACAAAATAAAAATAAAAAGGATATGTATTAACCGTTTTTTAAATTTCAAACACTGTACAGTATTGTACTGTAGAAACTCCAATGATGACATATTTG